ACACGCGATAACAATTCATTACCAACACGTATTCATAATCTATTCAGCATAAACGAAGCCCATCCTTAATTAACATTCTTTAGGTGCGAGAGGTTCGGACTTTTTTTCTTTTTTTTGTTATTTGTCGAGCCATATATCCAATACATATTTAATTGCAGCCGTTGAAGTTGCAGAGCGGTTATGTCATAGCAAGAGATTTCTTATTCCCCATATGTAATCATACAATGGAGGAGCAGACGATGGCCACATGGTTCACACGGCTCCTCCTGTGGCCAAAGTTCGTTTCTAATTATGGTCCTATCCAGATTCGCCTCTTCTATGTTCGTATGTATGTACATTAAATAAGTTTAAATAAGTTTGGGCATCTGGGATAATGAACGCCTTAGGAATAAGTAAGGCTAGAAATAAGTGACTCGTCATTTTTGCTTGTGTGTATGTATCTACAGCAGTGCAGTACCCAAGGTTGCCAACGAAGCGAGTTGCCTATGATGAATTTATGTTCCTACGTTGTATTATTTGGTGACGGAAAAGCATGCGTGAAACATATTGTCGTCGGTGCGTAAGGTGTATGTATATTCCTTGCCTATCGCGTCTATTGCCACGTAAAAATCGTATGCGGTTATATGCAGAGGAACTATCGAAAAACAAGTCAGTAATAATGCTCAAGTTTATAGGAATGCATTTCGGAAATAAATGTCATTCGTCATTTTACAACCTCTCAAATACGAATTAGCAGTCGAGATAAACGCGCCTCCATCTACGTACATATAATACATTTACATACCTAACCTTTGCAAGTAATGTATGTACATTATTCGAGTGGCATGCTGGTAATAATCACTTACAAATACATAAGTGCATCAACTAGGTAGATATGTGCCCAAGTGGGTGTAAGTGGATGATGTATGTAAGTGTTTGTCTCAAGTCGCAAATCCTCCAGATTTGATGCTAAAGTTCTGGAGAAGTATCTAAATGTACCTTTGTTATCGCCGACGATAAAGGTGCTGAGGTGATAAAAGTTGTACATCGTTTTACGTATTCAAGCTTTTAACCGCATGTCTTCTTCTCGGTCCCTGAATTAACAATACCGAATCCCTGCTCTTTCTAATGTCTCTTTATGTTTCTTTACGGTATTACTAATAGTCACTTCCGGCTGTGTAACCCCCAAACAGTAACTTCGCCGCTTCCTTTTGGTGACCTTCCCCTTACAGTAGCATCCTCTGCAACGGCGAGCGTCTGTTGGTTTTGTACTAGCCCCACAAAGGCAAAACACCACAAATCGAGGTCTCGGATCTGTTTTCCATCGACCATCGCTCATCGCCTTACTACCTTACTGCGCACGGCATTACACGGCCCCCACATCCGTCTGCTTGGTTTCAATGTAAGAGCCCTAAACCAACCTTAAAACACTTCAAGATGCATATACACTTTATATACACTTTCAACTTGCCTGTCTTAGTTTATATTCATATTTCGTTCGCGCGGCTCTAGGCCATACACGCACCATCTTATCCCAATATGCCGTGTTTTTCTTTGGCTAACTAGCTATCTAACTAAGCTACCTAACCCAGCTACCTTCTATATCTAGTCGGGCGCCGCGACCGGATTTACGGAAGCGAGGTGCGATTGACGAACCAGCAAGGCTAAGCAGATCCAAGCCTGGCCTATCTCAGTCCGAGATGGCCTCCGTCCTATGTATAATACAACGAGACTTACACCTACGTACAATACAGCTTACCCTGTCGTTACCCTATTACTGTTATCTACCACCATTTATCATCATATACTAAAACTGCAGGGTCCCCTCGAGAAGCCCGTTCCTAGGTGCTCAGCCTCATAGAATATCTCGAGACGCAGCGCCTACGTCTAATCGTTTCACCAATGACAGTCCATTGACGTCAATTATATATTCTTGGAACACTTCACCGCTTCTATTCGGGTCAGCCGCCAGCCTTACTATGATCCGCTTTCATTATTTGCCATGCAGGATCGTGAGATATAAACTTACTCTCGGATCGCCGAAATTTCCGCGGCTCGTCCGGGACTACATACTCGATTAAAAGGTATCTCTTTTTACCGAGTCCTTGATGACGCTAGCATAATAGCTAGCATAATACCTCGGGAAGTAAAAGAAACTTCTGACTGCTGCGAACGATTGTAAGTATCATAGCATTGAGATCTATACACGTCCCGATTTATACGGAATATGCCGCACCTGGTTGGTTCGGTTGCCGCCTCGCTCTGCCCTGATTGAACTTGGCTCGAGTCCACCGCAGCCAAGAATATTCCCGACGTTAGCGAGGCTTCTACCTGGTACGGCAGGTTGTCGTCATCTTCTACCGAATTTCTTGCATTGCTTCGCCCGTCAACGCGGTTTCTATATTTGTCTCAGCTCGGCGCGCCTGTTAGTGAACGGACATCGTGCGATTAGAGTCGTATTCCTAGTCCCGCGACTATGATCGACAATCACCACTAAGAAAGAGCCTTAAATGAGGCATAGGACCGATGCAGGCCGCAGAAACCAGTCTACATTTATGGTTTGGATGCTCCCCATTGCTTTAACTATGGCTCGTCGAGTATCGTGTAGCCTCTCGATGCGCTATCTGGGATCAAAGGTTCCCAGCTGATCTGACGTGTCTCTAGGATGAGCCTCTTTGATGGAGAATAAGCGCAGATGCCGAACGCTCGAGTAACGTAGTAGTAGAAACTACCCGTCGTGAGATCCTATTCTCGAACGATCTGAACTTGAAGAAATTACTATCAATAAATCAAAGGCCCAATTTACCAAAGCTTTCCAGGTTATCGCTCGTCTATCAATGTCCGAACCGAGCAAGCCTCAAATGCACTGAAAAGTACTCCAAATTACGACAATCTCTTCATCCGAAACTTCAACGCTTACCATAGTCTACCTCGCCTCGTCATTTCAAGCTTGGCCTAAGTTTAGACTTCCACCAAACCATCGTAGCACCTCATGTCCCGTAAATTCTAAAGGGGTCGCGTGGACCGGGCCAGCTGAGAAGGGAGTATATGCGATTTTTTTTATGCCTTTATCTCCACCATTGTGCCGCCAATTCGTAGTGAGGCCCGTAGGGCATACTTTACATATACCAGGTACTGAAGAAGCCACCGCGTCCTACACCAATAAAATCCACAGCCGGCCTGGGCACAGGTTGAGACATAGTCGTCTCACTAGACGCCGATCACTGTACGCAGGGACGCAGCCGTGCAGCCGAAGCAAGTTTCTACCCTTCACGTGGACACAAGTCATCGTGACCGCTTGTGAACTCGCCACATCAGATACCCATACCAGTTGATCACATGAGGCTGGAAATCAGCTATAATAAGAAACGAAATAGCTGTAGCCCGCATATACATAAATAACCCCCGTCACTACATATGGATAATATATTAAATATACCCTATCAACCTAGAACTGTACTCAATATACGTAAGCAAGCCCCAGGCAACTACATTTGCCACACCACGAATCATATCACGGTACAAGGCAACTCATAATCTAGATAGGTATCTAGATAACCAGAATAGCTCTTTTGCGGAGTCTAGATAAACGGGTTACTGGAGAGGAAGATGAAAAGGCTTCCCTATACGGAGATGTCAAGAAATGAAGGTTATACATATACCCTGCGTAAATAGTTCCCCTGACTACGTGTTAAGAGCCCGATGGGTAGGTATATCGAATATCGAGACAAGAGAAAAAGCCTAGCTCTCGTACATAAATAACCCTTAAAAGTGTACGGTATGTAGACTTGTCTGGGCGCTTGGTTTATCCTGCGTACTAAACCCCACAAACGTGACCCTATATAATATATGTATATGCATACATCGCAATGAAGCTCCAGCTGTTCCCCTTAGTTCCTTAAGGCGAACTCATGTACGACGTAAAAATTTCGAGTGCTAAAAGGTTCGCGCCGAGCTGCTGAATAGGGCAACTACTGTAGCTCGTAACATGCTCATGAAGTAGACGCGGGGATCTTAGAACGGGGGATTTATTTCGATCGCAGCTTTCAACTTAAAGGGCGTTCACTTAGAAGGCAACGCCCTGCAACGAACCTAGCTGGGTCTGCATGGACCTCGGCTTGTATCGACTTCGGATGTCATCCTGATAGCTTTCTCATAGTCCCGGGCAACGAGTGTAATGCCCGACTCAAGCCTACTTGTTGAGTGTTATGGCGAGCACAAGGCTATTAAGCATGAAAAGCCGCAGCTCCCTTTTCTGGAAGCTTCATATTGTATTACCTATCTCTACTTGATGTGTTTGTCTATAGCTATCTATATTACACAACTCGAGCACATCGTGATCATGGATTTTATTACGCCTTGGTTTCACAATATCCTTTGCTACTTATGAAGCAATGAATTAAGACGAGAGAAGAAAGTACAGCTGTCTTAGATAGATACCCAGGTAGGCAGATATTGATTAATCTACTCGACAAACCCACGCTTCTCACTCATCTTGATCCCGCTGGCTAACAAGAATGCGCAATTATTTCACTCTTCCAAGTCTCATAGAAGTAAAGCATCATGTTATTCATAAACATATATACAAGGATTGACGCTGGTTAGAGACTCTCCTCACCATGGCACTGGCGACTCACACAATGAGCCAGCAACAAACGCCACTTTAATGCAACACAAAGACAGTCTGTCTGTTAACTCCGTGAAGGCGGTAGACCTAATGATGCTATGTTATTTCCGCCCTCTGAACCCACCGACTAACCTGCCAACCTGGCAAAAATACTTGACAGGGTATGCTACACGGGACCCCCAGGTGCTCTCTTGCCTCTCCTATGAGACTAGCTGCCATTCCGTAATTGTCGTAATGCATGCTGGTCATACCTGAGAGGAATACTATGTAAATATGCTATATTGTTTCCATTATAGGAAACTATGGCAGTTTCGTCTCGAATACTCCATGTCATGCTGTAATTGCATAGACGCGTATTCCGTCATGGCCTTCGTGAATTGCTAGTAAGCGATTGCTCACTGCTTAATGTACTGTAGGTATCAAGGTATTTCCTTTCCCTGTCAATGCACCAAGGCGAAGATCCTCATTTGGGAGACTTCTGGATTCATTGGCATAGTGCTCTGCTTAGACACCGACAATCAATTCCCGTATAACTAGGTGAGCTTAATCTTATCCTCTTCGCCGATGTGGATTTCCGCTGCGTCTTCGGAACGCGCATCATTCTCACCCCCAGGTGCAACTTTGTGGATCGTGTTCTTCTGATCCCAAATCTGGTCCATATCGTCCTGGGTCATTTCACCTCGGTAGTCGGGGGGTGGAATTTCACTATACGAGGGTACGTTGGTCTCGGGTTGTGATAGTTCGTAACTTGACATTCCCGGATATTCTGGCTCCTGGTCTGGCTCGAAATCCATGTCACGGGGACTGAGCACCCGTTCATCACCAGATGAATCGTGTTGTGCTACATCTGAGGCCACATCTGAGCCAAGGGGACTCTCCGAGGGGGGGTTTTCAATATCCGCGATATCGTTAGGCACAAGGTTGTCAAAGCTCCAAGAATTACCATTCGTAAGCGGTTGGAAACCTGCTGGTTGCACTGTGTCTTCGGTTAAGCTTATGCCTTCATCCTCTTCGATACTTCGATGGACATCCTCGGAGGGATGCTCGAGGACATCGTCGATGGTCTTTATGTCCCAGCTACTATTTGCGCCATTTACTGCAAAGCCATTCGTCGATTTACCACCAGTGCTTCCGCGCAGGTGAGTAGCTCCTGCTCCTTGTAACGCGCTCGACGACCCATTCTGGGAGAAGCCTTCGCCGAGACGCTGATCTTCCCCCGAATCAGCCAGTTCGCTGTCGGAGCCATCATTTTGGAACTTATCCAAGATTTGCTGGAAGCGAGGCCCGCCAAGGGGGGTCTCAGATCGTCGACGATAGAACAGCAAATACGCCGATGAGTCGACGATTCTATCTGGAGACGCTCGCGATACCGACGAATCTAGAAAGTTTAGCAATTATACAACAGAAACCTAATTTGGTAATACATACCATTATACGTATACCACTGGCCGTCCACAAAGTTCTTCGCATGAGCAGTGTAGTGACCGCCTCCCAGGCCGCCCCAGTGGCAGTCAACTCCGATCAGATCGTAAATTTCCTGTTTTCCATCTTCTTTCTGGAGAACGCGAGAAGTTATGTCCAAGTTTTCAAGAGGGAAGTCGACCAAAACTTCTAATTTGTCTCTTCTGAAACCACTAGAGCTAAATCTCTTCAAATGAATGACGAGAATGTCTGGGGTCTTCCATAGGTCAAATTTCTTGCTGGCACGCCTGTGCTCCTTGCAGCGAGGGCAATACCACATATCCTGTTCTGAAAGGATTTCTTCTCGCTCAAACTCGTCCAGACATGCCTCAAGAGAGATACCGTTCTTACGACTCTTAGTCCGAGCAGCCTGGGCTCTGTCCAGCTCGGGATCGGGTAGAGTCTCACAGGAAATCCATGTTGCGAGCGAGTTATCATTGGCTGGTGCGCTACTATCAGTAAAGATGCGATCATAAGCACCGTCAGACCAGTCGATAATGAGAGCTTCCTTGAGGCGGATTAAGGGACCTCCATCGGGACCAGGTTCGCCTATATTAAATGATTCATCCAATTCTAGGTTCTGATGCTTCTCCTTTGATTGGCGTTGTTGCTGACGTAGCTTCTTCTTGCCCCCCTTGCCGTAGTTCTTGCACGTCTTAGAGTGCTTCTGTTGCTTGTTTCTGCCTTTAGCCCGCCCGTTCTGCTTAGAGCGGTGGTGGTTCGGCTGGTTATATGTTAGTACTGAAATGGAACAATGCGTTTTTGTAGGTCGAAAGTTTAGGCGGCCCCAAAGGGTTTGGTCGGAGCATACCTTAATGATCGGGCTGGCATCCTCATCATCGCTTTCGTCTTGCATGCGTGTGTAGGAATGCTCAGTACTTCGTCGGGGAGCTTCGTCTGAACTGGACTCTTCATTAGAGGCCGTGCCATTGGTTGCATTGTCGAACTGGTCTTCCGATGAAGACTCGGGTAGAACCCTGGTCGAGAGCTTCGGATATTGCCTGTCATCATTAATGCCGCTCATGCCAGTCGGTAACCATGCTCCCGATTCCGAGTAGAAGCAGATATCAAACATATTCTGAAGAATGGGAGGGAGAAACAACCCCGGTGCCATCCAAGCCGGTCTCTTGTGACATAATTGCTTGCCTGAAGGGTTGCTGAAAATCAGTTAGCACTGCTTGTTAGCCTTACGAAGGAACTATTTCACATACCTTCGGACTCCGCCATCTTTCATCTGTACGTCAACCATGTCATCCTCACCTGTAACGGACTGGGCAACAACCCTACCTTCGTTGGAGGAACCCGTGTCGGAGCTCGTCCCTATGATTTCGAGGTCGGTGCTATCGGACCCCTCCAAATCCTCCCCGCGTATAGGCAAAGGATGTTTTGTTAACGTCACGACCTTTTCCAGGACCTTACGGCGAATAGCTTCCTCGCTCTTAGCTTCTTCGGGTGTGATGATAACAAAATGAGGGGCACAGGCTTGTACCCATCTACCCTGGTGATAACTGGATTTTGAAGGGGCTGGACGCCGGTGGAAGACGGGGACAAGCAGTTTCTCAGCTTGCTCGTCGTTCCACGAAGCTGAGGCGTTGTGCTCCTCCTCATCGATCATGGATCTGACTGCTACTCCATACTTCTGCTGTTTATGAGGTTTGGCACCGTAGTTTGTAGGCTTAACCTCGAGCTCGAAGAACCAAGCGTTGTCGTTGTGTGTAATCTCTTCCGAGGCGCAAGAGACGTCAGTATAATACTTATAGAACCTGCCCTTCCATTCTTCCGCACCGAACAAGCGTTCAGCCGGCACGCCGGTTTTGGTAGACAGGAACTCCTTCAGAGATTTGATGCTGGCATGCTTGTCAAGTTCGACTCTAATGTCAATCGGTCGATCATTTAGGGGGAAGAACTTGATGGTGTGATTCCACTTATTTTCTACGGGTAGAGGCAGGGTTAGATTATTGAACGGGTCAAATGTAATGCTAACCTTCCGACACTCCGGGCAAACCAGTGTCGACTTGTATAAGCCAGTGAATAGATCGCCTATGACGGAGTCATCACGTCTCTTGGTAATGTCCCATACTTTAGCTGCCATCTCTCGAATTGCGGCAGGGTCGTTAACCATTTCGTCGGTCGAGTCCGGCTTCTCGATATAAGGCTTCTTCTTGATCCGACTAAGATCTTCTTGCAACCCATCCAGCAAAAATCCAAGAAACTCTTGCGAGTCTTGCTGACCATAACCCGAAAATCCCGTAGAATATTTACCGATCGTGGCTTTAAATTGACGGGGTGAGACAGAACCCGGCGACGAATCTTTATAAATCTCTTTCAATAAGTGGGCATAAGCAGCAGCCACCTCGCCATTGTGGGAGAGGACATTTTCCTTGTTGAGTTCTAATTCCCACTCTCCCGAGAGGAAATACTTGGTTAATTCCTCAACGCTCCTGACACACTGGAGCGCAGCGTTCATGTAACATGTGTTACCTAAGTTTGCTAATCCCACGCACCCGGGAACCTTACCAGACTTTGCTCTACCACGCGTGAGAGACCCCTGGGATACTGGACTAGTGCGTCCGCTTCTAGCGTTCCGGTTTTGTACAGTTAGATTGGTAGAGCTATTTCTAGATGGTAGCGACGTTCGTGCTTGGGAAGACGTTAGAGTCGAAGTCCAAGTGGTACCGCTTTCATGAGGATCCAAGACAATGGCTTGATCTTGCGCAATACTGAAGTGGCCTAGCGTTTTGACAGATTTCTGATTTGGCTGATCTGTTCGATCACCGAAATCGATGAGCTCTCTTTCTGATTTTCTCTCGAGGGCCAGAAATGATTCAACGTCCAAGAGAAGATGGCTCCAGGCTTGCGAAGTGTTAGATTTCGTATCATCTTGAGAAGCGGAGAGAGTGGGCACTGCATTACCTGGTGTTTGGCCAATAGGTGGCTGTAAAACGCTCCAAGCTCGAACTCTTTGTGATAAATCTATTCCTGTGACTCTTTTTGCCTGTTTCAAGAAAGTCTGGAAATTTGTTGAGCGACTACGTGCAAGTCTTGAAGGTGGTGGGTTCGTGGCCTTCATAGCTGCTTCGATTGGCAACTCACTATTAGCAGACCAGATTCGATATATCGAGAGTACAGGCGGATGCCACTCCCACATAACATTTTTGCCATCGTCCGTTGTAGCATGTGCCAAACGGAGAATAGGTATTTGGTCCTCTTTCAACCCGGGCCATTTAACAAGAAGATCCCAGGCATCTTTAGGGAAAGGTTCAAATTGTTCCGAGTCGTAACCCGGCTTCAACCGAACGAATTTTTTCTTTAGAACATCTACCACGCCACTACCGACACAAGGATCATCTATAACCTCTTGGATGATGTCCGAGTTATCTACTGGTGGTATCGAGGCCCAGTCCTCGATAGTGTGTTTTGGTGATAAATCGTCCGGCACATTAGCCAGCCACAATTTTGAGACTAGGAAACACTCCTGGCCTTCTGTAAGTGGGCGTGTGTTTTGCTCTTCCACGAACACTCGGATGGCTTTCACGTGAGCCTCTATGGATTCTGGGGGTTGACGTGGTTGAACTTGTGAAATTAGCCTATGCTGCCCAGTTCTGCTTGTAGTCGACCTACGTGGTGATATGTCCATCGGCTCTGCACTTCCCTCGGCCGTCGCACCGGCATGGCCATTCACTGCGGGACCTACATCGGTTGCAATGTGACCGTTTGGTTGTTCGGGTTTAGATGTGTCCGGAGCATCGGACGGTGGTGCTGCAATCATATCGACATCTTCAGTTGCATCTTGATCTGCGATATCAGGTTCCATACTGGAGGCGCGTCGTTTTAACGGAGAGGAGGCTCTATCTGGGAAATCGGCGGCACCGCCCATGACTGCACGATGGTAGGTGATTTTGGCAAATGGTGAGCTACCCCTTCCAGAAAATATATTAGAAGAGGTGGAGCTGAGTTCGAGCGTTGGGTTATCGGGACCACAATCGCTATCGATTGTTAGCGCAGCGCAGGCACCAGAGGGAGAGCTCGCGGCGGATGAGGCGTATTCGGCGTAGCTAAGGGAGCTGGTATTGGTTTGTAATCGAGGGGGGAGACTTGATGCCGGCGGGACGGAGTTAGCGCGGCGGGAGTTGGCGGTCAAGCTGTCGAAAGAAGAGTAGAATGAATAGTTCGGATCTGTGTCTACTTCACAGGATGGTAAAGGTGTGTCCGAGGAATTGCAACTGTCTAAGCTCTCGTCTTTAGCAGTGGATTGGCGATTTGTAATCTTCCGTTTCTTTGAGGAAGACGTCTTGGCGGCGAGCTGCCTTGAGCAGCTCTGGGAGAATCAGTGGTAATATGGTGGTAAAAGGTTGCGCTTATGAGCAAGAGGTCGTATGAATGTGTAGGAGGAATCTTACACAAGACACTAAATGATTGTTCGCTTGACGCGAGAGGCGTGTGCTCATTGGTCAGTCGGTGCACCTGTAATAAAGGAAAATCTGAGCTTCCGGGTAGACAATCTAGTACTTCTGACAATGATGTCTACTATTTGCTTCAATGGCTGTCAGACAAGTCCTGAAGTCTGGTTCTGTATAGGTTATGGTTAGGATTGGTTGACTTTGTTTTGGACCAATAACTCAACTACCAGAATATTCTATTTCTTGTTGGGAGAAGGGGAAAAAAGGAAGGCGAAATTTCCTTTGCCTCGAATTGATGCACGCAAATAGGTATGTTGCGTGTGCAGTGAGCAGTGAGCAGTGAGCAGTGCGCAACAGCAGCGGTCAGTTCTCTGTGGGCGCTTTTGCTGATTGGCATCAAATAGGTACTTTGGGGTTCGCCTTGAAGAAAAAAAAAATTGTTCCAATGGAAGGCAGCAGCCACTTGTTGTACCACTACACTCCAAAGGCAGGTACTTACGGTTATCAGCACAGCGGGTACAAAGGGCACAGAGGGCAGAGGGCAGAGGGCACAGTTTTATACGTAGGTCTTGGACCTGCCACTAGTTCAGATTGGCAAACTCTAGTTACCCTGGTGCATCTGCCTTTTTATGAGTTTACACTATGTATCATGTTAATAATCCGTAGTCTAAAAGCCATTAAACGTAAACATATAACTCTGGCAGGAACCTAGTCATTGTGGTAGGTGAATTTAGACAACTACATGTACGTACCTATGTAGGTATGATCAAACACCAACCTGCGTGTGTTGTTCCACCCAAAATAATTATACTAAAATCGGAATAAATCGAAGAAAAACAAGGGCAGGTGTGGGGTGTAGCGTCGTATGAATTTATGTATGATGTATGTTATTTTAGAACTGCATGGAGGGGAAAGGACGTGTACGACACAAAAATGAGTTATTGTTACCGTCTCAGACGAACTGGCAAATCGACCTTAACACTAATAATAACATTAACTAGCAACTGGAAAGTAAATTAGAAACCTTGTGTATTGATATTTTGTTATTCTATACAGGGCAGGAGCGCCTTCCACGTATTTCTAGGCCTAATGTCTTAGTCATGTACTTTAGGTGGCTAAAGTAAATAGTAACCTAGTAGCATTGAACAGCTTCGTTTTATGTTATTTTATTTTTTTAAAGCTTATCTGAATAACCCTATTTCTCGTCTAAAGGCCGCAGGTGGCTACCTGCATCGTCACAAGTACATACCCGCCATTTGTGGCCTACGTTAACCTATACGTACCTAACCTAACCTAACTCGAGTCTCTTCGAAGCCTGGTTTTAATAAGGTCCACGAGTACCTAACCTAACCTAACCTAACGTATAAGATAGCTCATCACGTACCTAGGTATGCATTTTTAAAGACTCCCCCTCTAGTCAATGTTTCTAAGCAGCTATTGTTGTCTCTAGTTTTCCACGTCTACTTCTAATTATCCCCACGTCTCGAGTTCTTTTTCTTCTTCGGTCCGGCCGCACGCAGACTAAAGAAAAACCAACAACAATAAGACATTTCCCGCCAGGTAACTTCTAGAGAAAGTCTAAGAAACGCATGATCTATCTATGTACCTAGGTTAGGTACTTACTCACGCGATTTCATTTCACATTGAAATGTACCGTACTGGCCTTTCTTGCCCAGAAACCAAATACGCTGTAAATGTACTATGCAAACAGATGGGTATAGCACTTTGCGTTCTAATTTCTACCAAACACTTCCTCCCAAAAATTTGTCTCAAAGCTTGGAGTCTATTTCCTCAAAGTCGCTGAGGTCCCTAACCGGACGAGCTCCTGGAGTCACTGACAGTCTTGCTTTGAAGTCCCGCACGTTTCGTATCAAGACCGGCTCTGTACCATTTGACCATATTATAGTTGTGTCTCCGTTTGTCGACTCCTCGACCTCCTTCGCTTTGGGGCTAACACCCTGAGCGATGAGCTGTACGACCAATTTCGCCCGGGTTGGTGATGTGGGCTTGATATAGGTTGAGTAGAACTCTATCATCTCCGACTTTGTAAGTTCCTTAACTTGGGCTGCATCTCGTTGGGCTGTACATGCTGTTAGTCGTTTATAATGATATATGGGGGAATAATGACGGCACCATACCTGACTCAAAGTCATAATATTCATTACTGATCTGCGTCCAGTGACGACCAGTCTCCTGGTCCAGATTCTTTAATTTCTCAAGACGCTTGATTATCACGCTCCTCTTGTGACTTTCAAAATCTGTATTGCTCATGTTTTCTAGAGAACTTGTCTGCGCAGCTAGGAAGGAGTCGATTCGAGATTCCAAATATTCGGTAGTGCGCTCGCTCTGTATTATAAAGCGGAACCCGTACGTAGTAGCGGAACTTCTAAGGCCACTGAAAACAACGTAGCCAAGCTGCTCCTTAGTCCGTAGCTGATCGAACGCCGGCTCGTGGATGATCTGATCAAGAAGTTGCGTCTTTGCACGGATCAGGCGATCTCCTTTATCGCCGATGTGGAGATAATACTCGATGCAGTGATTGACGTTCGCCGGATCCTTGAGGATCTTTTTGAAAACGAAGTTTGACCCTGGAGGGAAATCTAACGACCGAATGATACGCCACTCCTCCTTTGGCAGGACTCGGGGCTTTAGTATCTTTTCGATCATGTCTGTTAGCTTGAGGGCATCCTCCTTGTACACATTTCCGTGAACATAAGCCTCGATGTGCAGCTGTGACATGATCTGCTTGTAGAACTGTCTTACGTCCTCGGCTGTAATTCCGGGTAGCACGGCGACCAGTTGCTCAACCACGTAATCGTGTTCGGATGTAAGCCAGGACACGTAGTCGCCAATCTGTGTAAAAGGTTGTTGCAGCTCGCAGTTTTTGTAACCTCGAGTTAGCCTCTCCTTGATGATCTCAAATCGTTCGTCCTTGACCTCGAGGTCCCGCATAGTAATAAGAACCTGCTCCAGTAATACGGGCAGTTTATCATTGTAACCGGACACCTCGACGAACAACCCTCGAGAATCAAGACTGACGTTGTACTGCAGCCCAGCAAGCTCAGCATCGTATGAGTATTCCTCTAGTGCATCCCGTACCAAATCCGTGAACAGCTTCGACCTTACTGAGTTATCTGCCGAAGCAAATATGACAGGGTTCCTGATGCTGACGATTAAATTCGCTTTCGGGACCCAGAATGTGTCATCTTTCTTGTACCACGTTCTCGCTACTTCATCATCTCGGATCACTCGAGGCGCCAGAGCTGGCCGCTCGACTTCTTTCTTCTCCACCTCAAGCTTTGTCGGGATGAATTGGTTCTTGTGTGGGAGATGCAGAGCAGGAAGACGGTCCTCGGAAGTACTATCTAGGGCCTTGGAAATCTCGGACAGGAAATCCTCGGGGATATTCTCAGCTTTATACTCTGTTCCGTACCACTTCTCCTTCTGATCCCAACCCCCCGGGAAGTCCCGAGACACAATAGTCATTCTAAAATTATCGGGTCTCAATAGTTCCACCCCTTTCACAATTGCTTCCGGGTCGAACTTCCGTAGGCGGCTTTGGCCGCTGAGTAGCCACTCTCGGGGCAACGGCTTTTGCATCACAGCACAAATCCTACTTGTGAAGCGACTAGCTGGTGTCTTTTGCTTAAATTTGAAGTCCACATCTGCCATGCCCTTTTGCTCGTCGAATATCCATTCTTGAGGTTGTGTTTGTTTGAGAAGTGATACGTATTGGAAGAATACTTTGACGACCTCTCGATAATGTTTTAGACCCTACATTAGAGCATTAGCAATCAATATCCCCAAATGATTAGAATGATTTACCTCTTTTGTCAACCGGATCTGACAGTCAAAAATGCCGGGAGTACCGGGGCAAATCTGATATGCACCAGCGCTAAGTGAGTTGGCCCATCCCTTCGATTTTAGGTACGCCATTATACTGCCAGGGCCCTCGTGGCCAATTAGGTGGCTAATATACCGACTCGGCTGGGTTTCGTAAAGATATTCCTCATCCAAGAATGGAAAATAGAGATTAAGCTCTCTGGAATCCATGACTGGCTTTGCGAAGCATTGCATAGATAGGAGCTCCTTAGTGAAGGGCACTTCTGTTTCCCAACGATTCTGAGGGAGGTTCTTGTTTGGTACGCCAGAGAATAACTCGGCAACCCATTTCTCAAGTACGTCTAGTGGTTCTCGGCCCAAGACACAAAGCTTCATTCTGTTGGCAGAGTAGTGCTTTTCGTGAAAGTCTATAAACTTCTGCCGCACATCTATGCCCTTAGATTCCGGCTCAGTCTTGAGTACCTCGAAGTTACCAGTCGAGAAGTGACAATACGGATGCTTAGGGTTGGATAGAGATTTCTCTAGCTGATGGAGGCGCCACTGGTCGCTCTGCAGGTTCTTCTTGTTTTCTGAGTCGACAGCACGTAGCTCACGATCCAACGTCGACGGAAGGAACAAGGGCTCGATGAAGAACTGAGCAAACCTATCTAAGCCACCGTAAAGGGGAGACAGGTTTGTCTCGGAAGGTTCCTCGCCATTGCTCGGCTTCGCGGCAATATCGAAGAAGTAATTCGTCGAAGTGGCTCCGGTATAAGCATTCGAGCTTCCCGAATGAGAAGAGAGGTATACATTATACGCATTCTCTACCGGGTATTTTTTCGTACCCATGAATAAAAGCTATAGTACCTCTTATCAGCTAAAGTTTAGATTGGATCTTGTCCGACGTGACCTACATGTTCCACTGCATGTGCCATACCCGGCATATCATCTTCATCACTGAAGTTGCCGACATTAACATCCAATGCGGCGCTGGCCTTGTCTGTTTCGGGATCATGGACCAGCAGCGCTTCAAGCTGGTTAGATAAACGTATAACACGATATTTCCGGTCGTCTAGCGAAGGAACCTCCAGTTGGTCGGTAACACGCTCGACTGGTTGCTGTGGGTGGTCCCGCATCACGACGCCTGACGTAGGTGCGTCCTGCAGCGTTGCGGAGCTCATGGCGAATGATTAGAAACGGTTAGGTGAGGACTGGGGGGGGCTTGTGACACAAAGTCCAGGGGATAATCGAGGGATAATCCAGATATTTATTCTAACAATTCTAAGCAACGCCCGGCTCGAGAGATCTGAGCTGGAAAAGGAGACTTAGGCCGATGGCGGATGAGCGTGAGACTTTTATCCAGACGTCGAAGGATAGGATAGGACGGGGTGACAGGGTAGCGTCAATCTGTGCAAATCGCCTTCAGTGGAGACGCTAGCGTACCTGACTGAGACAAGGACCAGGTTCTTCCAGAGGACTGGAAAGAAGTCTAATGTAGGAGAAATTCGCCTCGCTCTGTCTGGGAAGTTCCTTTCTCAACAACCGTCTAGAACGACCAGCTTTCGAAGCCGAATCGTAACACGACGTTTAGAGTGCCACGAATCGGCCCGCAGTCTTAGTCGTTCGCTACACTTGCCAATATGCAACGGGAACTTTCTGCCGATTTTAGAGATGTTGTTTATGTCACTCTAAGAAGGACCTTGCAACCCAATCAGCAACTCTACCAAAATCTAGCAATAGCGTAGCTGCGAAACAGTCTTCTAGACGATGAAGTTTCGACGACCACCTACAGAGTTGGATTACCCAGCGGTGAGACCGTAAGAGGAGCGAAGCGATCTTGAAAGAAGTCAATTGGCCTCCAGATGCAATATAGCAGACCCGGGCTTTTACTATAGTCTCCTGTCCTTGTTCTTGTGTCGGTGACTGGGGCTTAAGTACCTAATACAGTAGTGTAGAAGACAAAACTGTGGCTCAATGGCAAGGCTACCTTAGACTTGAAGTACGGGAGCTGAGAACAAATGTATAAAGAATGGAGGAAAGGCTGACTCGAGCTGAGATCCGGTGGGCGATACTCCAGTAGCGGCTCCGCTATTGCCAATATTAACACGGATAGATAGATTCACAAGGGAAAAGGAGCAGTAGAGGTATGGATCGTCGATGGGACGCTTGTGATTTCATGGATACTCATGTACGTTATGGGCTGGCATGCTTAATCACTTACCTTTTAAGAACTGGGCTCGGATATTGGCCGAGAAAGCTGAGTTTTATGAAGAATTGGTGATGGCGAGATAGTTAGGACCCTACGATTGGGCCGCAATTAGAACAGTGCTTGGAGATTTCATAATAATAGTACGGAAGGCATAATAATATGTGCTGCATCAGTTAACTGAGCAGGTGACGTGAAAACGGGCCAGTGATAAGGCCCAATATTGAGAAGAGCGGAGGCCGGGGGGGTGAGGATGAGAACAAACACCGTGGGTAATAGACCTTTTTCTTACAGGAAACTAGTCGATGAGGTATTGCTGTAGCTACCCAACGTATACGTAGGTACCTTGGCGTTGAAATGCGGTCTGGGGTCTGATCTGGGTTGGGTCTGGAAAGACGGGGGATATTCAGTTGAAAATCCGAAGGCCGGTGACGTACGTCCTTGCAGGGCGGCGGTAGTTGTTGAATTAGCAAGGTGTGATCACTGCCCAGACATCCAGAGAATTGTTAGGTCCGGCTTTGATATAGTATCGGACGGCGGGTGGGAAAAAAAATTTGAGATGCAGCAGCCGCCCGGAAGAGTTAACGCCGAGTTTAGAGATATACCATATGGGATGTATGTATACGTCTAGGTAAGCAATGTGTGTCTTACTAAAGTGTTAAGACATGTATTACAGTATACCTAATATACCTATATAGGTGGGCAGGTATATATGCGTGCTTTAGGTATTATATATATATATTTGTACTGTATGTATGAGACGACGGCGGCGAAGAAACGAAGAGTCAGATGAAAAAAAAATTGAATAAAAAAAATAAGCGCGGCCAACACGCATACAGTACGCAAAATAGGTTAAGCACGCCTCATCAGATGTTTGTATGGAGGTACAATACATACAAGTAGGGATTGGTATTCGAGGGATGACGAAGGGCGATGGTGATAAGTGTATGTATGTATGTAGTATGTAGTATGTAATGTGTGGTGTAGGTCAAGGAGCCAAAAACTAGCAGAGAAAGGAATGTGGGGGAAACAGGGTCCATATCGGCTTGTCCGCACGGGTGCACGAGTCGGGTACATGTACCTAAGTTGTAAGTGCACGTACCTTTAAGGTGTATGCATACTGGCATATGGTTAACAAAGTATAACTATATGACATTATCCCGAGTATGCAGGTATCAAATGCATATAAGCACGTAACCTTCTAACCTAGGTTACAAAACTTTCCAATGAAGTCGGATTTACATATTAAGATAGGTAGGTAGGTATATACTGCAACATGTGACGCATATTTGAAGAGCCGTTCCTCAAGGAGGCAAAAGTTGAGGGTATACCAAATTTGCCGAACTATTGTACTAGCTTTCTGTTTGGGTACCAAGTTTACCTAATGAACCAAACCACATCTCTGTCAAGGATGGACTGAATGCAACTTGAACCTAAGAGGCTATTCGCTAGTTAGCGACTAGGGTCTTATTAGAAACGCGGTGAACGTGGTTGTGTCTTGGAACTTCCTGTTCCGCTCTCATAAAAAAAAAAAAACCTCTCATTGAAAAAAAGGCCTCGAAATCTCTGAAGAACGTCATCTTCTTAAACAACATCAACGAATAGGAGACGAGAAGACCAGATAAACTATTGGCTTTTGAGTACCCTTGGGGCCAATAGCCAATATGTCTAATCTAAGGTTACTCCGATTAAAATCGAAGAACATGAGAGGTTTCTATTCTAAACTATTTACTATCTTAGTCTTAATAGAATGTCGTCTCTCGCTAAAACCGCGTGTATATATGTAGTGTATGATAGACCGATAGACCTAGGTTGGTATGATGTCTATGTTCGTCACTTTGCATTGCGTGATGCTAAGCCCTACTATGACGTTTTAACTTTGAAGATTTACCGCAATTTGTGGAACCTTTAAACAGAAAAATTGCGACAGATTTGTGTCTTTCACTGTCGTTAAGTCTTCTTCAGAAACCTGCATTCCCCCTCGATATAACAACAACTTGCTTTGAACGTTAATAAGACTTAACAGGTGCCTATTCCTAGCCTCTAGATTATGATATTAAGCCGTAGATCATCCCTTGGCTTAGATCTTACCTAACCTAGATAAACATTACACCTTTTCCATCTCTATTACTCGAGATAAATAATATAGAAGGAGTAGTTTTGGAATAGGTAGGAGACCCTAAGATAGGCAAGGTAGCATCAAAGCTTAACAACCTATCCTCCACGTTTCTGCATGGATTGCCGCAAATCAACTCCCGGGTATGTTTGAATATTTCCGGTTGGCCCAAGACCCTTGCTCTTCAGCCCAAGTGAGTCGTATATACGTCGACGTGTACATACATACAATAAATCAGACTACCTACATACAATATAGGAATATATAAGAAAGTTGCATATTCCAATCTTTTTCAGTTCCTGTCGGACGTAGTAACGTGTACTTAGAAGAGCATATCTCGTGATCAATAGCCTAACGTAGGTGCAACAACCTCGCTGTCTAGCCCCATACGTCGCACGAACCGCGCGGCCGTTAGGTGCTTAAATTTGATATAGGTACGCTGGGTTCCTACCGCTGGCAGCCCTGGTATGTAGTGTATGTACGCAGGAGGCGGGAGCTGTGCATCATGAGGTGCCGTGCAATATTTGCCGGAGCACAGTCCGCTTTGACCTGGCCATGTTCGCCTTGTATCCACTCGTCCGATGCTTGCTTTGGACGACTGATGCTCCAGAAGGTATCCAATAGCGATTTGATAATTCCGAAGCGTATCCACTTTGATATTGATTGCGATGATATTCTGCAAGCATCACACATATTCACTGAAAGCCGCGGCTTGCACCGTCTCACGGTATCGTGGAAATGCTAACCGGACTTAACTATCTAGAGCGAAAAAATTGTTTACATGTTTTAATTAGGTAGGTATTTTATTCTACGAGATTTGTATGAAATGTCGTATAATAACAGCACATGGTCATACTGTCGAATCATTAGGCAAGGGGGCTGTTGTCGATCGGGTATTCGGTCTACGCGTATGCGGTAGGGCTTGAGTAGAAATCGATTGGCACGGAAGCCTAACATTATACTTGGTGTCACCACGGGTGTGTACAATGATCGAGGTTGCACTACGATCGGTATAGTCTTTCATTTTTCATAATCACAAGCACGAGACAGCTCATGATGAAATACGAAAAAATGGGTAGGAATTAACCACTTGCGTGGGGTGACCTTGCTTAATCGGCTTAGTCCTAGGATTCTAAAGAGAAATTAAGATAGGTTTCGATATCACATCTCTTCTCAGGAGTATATCTACCTATAGTGGCACCTAATGCTAGTGGCTACCCGTATATAACCCCTTTAATTCTGCGCATGAAGTCTGTCCCAGAGATCAACGTATGTAACGCTATATCTAGGATGGACAAAGAGGATGACGCAAATAGGTACGCCTCGTGCTCTTTCTTGGCTCTACTTAGCAGATCTATCTAATTAGATAGAATTGCCATGTTCCGAGAGTATGTCAACATGAATAATTTTGCAGTGAAGAGCAAAACTACCTATGTGGTGATGCATCCGAGGTACTTGCCTTGGCCCTGAGAGTGAAGTCACATCTAGAAACAAAGGGCTAGCACATACCATTCTGTAAAGCAACGCTTGTAAATAGACACTATGCGCAGATTCTAATTTGTTGGCCGCTTGGGAGTATTCTTGCATTGGGCAATTTTATGCCCCTGTCTGCCACAGCGATGACAGGTGAAATCCATGGGCTGCCGTTGTGAAGTACCGCCTCCTGAGGATATGGATAACGGGCCGCCAGAGGCAGGAGATGACTTAATACCATTCAACTTAACCTCCTTCTTTCTCCGTTTCTCGGCAAACTGCTTAGCTTTGATCTGTTCGGCACTTCTCTTGCTTTTCAAGGCCGGACGAGATGATCCCGACCGTCCCTCTGACTTTTGACCATAAGAATTTCGGCCTCGTCCATTGTCGTCCGAAGAGTTGTCAGAATCCGACCCAGAGCTAGAATCGTCACTTTCAGACTCGCTGTCCTTTGACACCTATACGTGGGTAAGTTACATGGACGAGGGAGATGCTACACAGAGACAACACGACAAAGTAGGGAAACAAAACTCACCTTCTTGTTATCCATATTATACCGCCTAATCATTGGGGTTCTTATGTGGGAGGCGTCAGTTGATTCAAAGTCATCAGAGCCAGCAGCATCAGAGGTGTCAATAGGGGAATCAATCTGTGCAAATCCAACTTGAACTACATTCAGAGGTGTTTGTATTCCACGGTTAGAATTTGTTGTCTTCTCTGGTATATCAAGCACCCAATGCGCGTCCCCAAGCTTAGCAGCATTCTGTACCACAGCTTCCTGGCGCTTCCTCTCCTCGTCGGCAATCGCAGCTTGTACTGCAGCTTGGTCTATATGTGCCAGGGAATCGATATTATCACGGTTTGCGGGGATATGCGATACCTTGCGTCGCTTTGAGGATTGTTCGTCTGGAGTTGGCGTGGTAGAGGATGGGGAGGAGGGCGAGGCGACGGCAGCTCTTTGCATGAACTTCATAGTTAGTAGTCTCGACGACATACTTTTAGTGGGCGTCGGTGTCGCCATCTTGTCGCGACTCTACTAGCTTTTTCGAATAAAATGTTGTGTATAAGGATCGTATCGAATGGTAGGATAGATTTAGCAGTGCTCTTAAGAATAAATGCCCAAAAGAATAAGGATACTACTACGCGCGCCGCAAAGACGCTGAGGGAACTAAAGTAGAAAAAAATTGAACGCAAGTACGGACGGCTACTAATTCGTAGGTTACCACCTAGTTGCTGTCGAATCGGCACTTTCCATCCTGGCAGCCCTGGTAAAAGAATCAAGTCAGGTAGGTACATACGTACCTAAGTACCTAAATTAATGGAAATTAGGTATTTTTAATTGATTCTTACATGTGGTCCGAGCTCCCGACGGCCAGTAATCATCGGCAGCTGGTCATCAACCTCAAATCATCATAAATCCTAGAACTTCTTTCGATCAGTCGCCTCCATTGACGACTACAATAAGCCACGATGCTTTCGCGATTGACTATCCGGAGGTCTCTGCAGCTCCATCAGCGAGCATGCGCGACTCAACGAACTTTCGCACTCTCCGCCCGCCTTCTTGATACCAAGAACCCGATCGAGGTCAGAGCCGAGACTACCCCCGAAACCAAGAGCGAAGAGGACTCGTTGGGAGTGGTAGAGAATCAAGAGAGGGGCTTGAAGCAGGCGCCAAACCGAACCGAGATCTGGTCACGGAGTCAAAGACCAAGGGCTAAGGCTATGACTGGCCCGAGATTCGAACAGACCGATTTCTCTCTTCAAGTAAGATTCGCATAGCGTCTGTCCACGACCCTACGAATATTAGCTAATGGTAGTTTAGCCTCAACCTCACGCAGCTATTGATCTCATCCACAAGAAGCCAGTCGAGTGGACTCACAGCCGAGTAGTAGCATGCGACGGTGGAGGGGGCCCGGCGGGACATCCTCGAATCTTCATCAACACAGACAAGCCGGAGATTGCTACTTGCAACTACTGCGGTAATCCATTTGTGAGTTTTATCTCGGATATAAAAGGCTGTTGCTACCTATCCTTCCCTGGAGAGAGGATAGTAGATATGCTTCGTATGAGGGAATAACTAATCAGTGCTTTCAGGCAAACGAACATCACAGAGAGCACCTAGAATCATTACCGCAGACCTCGTATCCTCTCGCATAAGGATAGACACTCGCTCGTCAAATGGTAGTCACGGAGTAGCGCTGAACTGATATTATATTATACAATTCTCAAGTCTACTCAGGTCAAACAGGGAGTCCATCCAGCTATGTACATATTATTCCGACTGCTCAAGTATCTAGAAATGCTTTATAAAGTCAGCACCTGGTAAAAGCACAACACAAAAACATCATACTCGCAAATTCCGCTCTTTGTTGACTGACTTACATTTATTTGTTCACTCATTGGTTGATTTATCCCCAAGGCTAAGTACAAGGTAATCTCTTAGGTACTTTTACATATGATACGTAATGTTTAGCAATTGCATAACCGGATCAAGACAAAGGTACAATACAAGACGGTTCAAGTACCCGTAGTCTCCAATTGAACCTACAGGGGGAGAAGATTAACCCCACCAAAGCTGCAAGCAACACCAAATGCAACAACATTTATCGCTAATCGCCATGCCGTCATCCACATCCACATCCAAACCCACCACCACCACCGCGTCTTTTTCACATAACTTCTTCACCGTGCTCTTCTTACTCGTGCTCCTGGTAGCTTTCTTCCCAAGTCTATTCCATTACATAACCACCCTCCCCCTCGCTTATCTATATCCAGCAAGCCCATCTTCAACCGCCCCACCACCACCACCACCAGCGCCAACCATGTCCTGGTTCCAGAAGCAGTTCGCGCTGCCCCCGCGCTCGCGCGGCTCCTACCTTATCACCGACCACATCGTAAAAGAGATCCCCGAGATCAGGAACTACAAAGTCGGCCTGCTAAACCTATTCATCCAGCACACGAGTTGTGCGCTGAGCTTGAACGAGAACTGGGACGATGACGTGCGCGCTGATATGAGCGATGCGCTAGACCGCATAGCGCCTGAAGCCGGACCTAAGGGAGAGGAGTTGTATAGACATAGTGCTGAAGGAAGCGACGATATGCCGGTGGGTTATATAGAAAACATCTATGACAGGCGGGGGGAAACGCTAATAAAGAAAAGGCACACATTAAGTCGGCGCTCATCGGCGCTAGTGTTACCATTCCTATAAAAGATGGAAAGCTGGTAAGTCGCGCAACTCCCCCTTAATTAGGGAAGCAATTTAGCTAAGCTCCTACAAGGCGACGGGAACATGGCAAGGAATTTGGTATCTCGAATTCCGAGAGATGAGGCATACAAGAAAGGTTGTAGCAACTATTCAAGGAGAGAAGGCATGAATTCAGATAGAACTAGAATATAGACATCTTGTGCCTTGGTTTTTATTTCATTTTATCTAGCTCATGTGATCGGTCCAGATATTCGCAGCTCTCAAGACAGCGATCTAACCCCTACGCCGAACGCCGTTTCGTCGCACCTTTTTTCAATGCAAAAGCACACATGAGATGACAGGCTATATAGTGCTCGAGATAACCCCGATGAACCCTACCTACTCATGATCTCCTGACCTTTTGAGGCCTAGGGCCAAAATTAACATCTTGAGTGCTGCCTTTGGACTTCCCCATTTCCAGAATTATCGGCTCGTTCCCCGTGCGACGATTCCTTCCTAGAGATACAAAGTCCCGTTTGATGATATGCGGTCGTTGAATGGCTATCACAACTAGTTGATGCCATTCTCTTCCTTGGCGTCTCTCATATCCTCATCGCCCCCAGCGAGGACTTTCGTTTTGAGGTTGAAAGCCTCAGGGCTCGCTCCAGGTGTGGCAGCTACTACCTCGCCGTGTTCGTTGACGAACTCGAAGTTATATCGGCTCAAGAGGTGGGGGATGGCAGAAAGCTGGGGTCCATATCGAGCGGTGTTATCGTAAAGCTCGAAGAGCGGCACGGCGAGCAGCTTCATGTTCTTCGGTACACTCAGGACCTCTGGGTTAGTCTATGGTTAGCGGTCTGCACCCTAGGGCAGATGATGACTTTACGTACTACTCTTCGGTAACTGTATGAAATAAAGCTTTTTACATTCCTTTGGCCGCGTGACGTGGGCCGGGATGAAGGGATACATGAAGGTCTCGAAATTGGGCCTCCACCACTGCGCGAGACAGTCTCCGACTTGCCAATTAGCCGGCTCCTCACCCTCGCCCAGCTTGCCTACCGGGGCCAATCGCTCATCTAGTCGGGACTTGAATCCTTCGATCTCGTCGTCCTCTGGTCGAAGATAGTCACCCGGCAACTTGAAGAATGCATTTGCTATCTGGAGCATCAATATATGAGGATGATTGTGCTCGTGGCAAACAAGGATGCCTTCGCAGGTTCGACGCATGCCGTGGGCATTGTAGTGCTCCTCGAGGCGCTTCAGTCGTGCTATAACCGAAGGGTCTTCTTCTGGTTGCGTCTCCTTCACTCCGAATGTGTAATTGGAAAGAGGATACAGTCGTATCGTGTTTGGCTGGTTCGAGTTAAACGAGAGGGGAATTATGGGGGGATATGCGCTCTGAAGCGCCGTGGCGGTAACCGTAGACATGGTAGGCTAGAATGCAGCTTCGAGAACGAGATGTCAGAAAACTTAGGATGCTATCCTTAAATCTGGGAGAACCTAAAGTACATAGGCACAGAAATAGGTAACTATGAATAAAGTCCTAAGAGGGTATTATGCCTCAGGTAGGTAGTTGAACATGTAGGCAGAGTTGAGGTTGTTCAAGAGAATGTCTACGGCGTTGTCAGGTTGTCAGGACTGGGATCTGGGAGTCTGGAGCTTGCTTAAGGTTAGCAAACGCGCGGCAGATCGGAAATCGATACCGTTAGGCGTTCTTGACTAAATTCTAAATCAAGTAGGCGGTGACGAAAGCTAAGCGTCGGTGTTCATTGGCTCAGATGGGTCCTGCTACATCTCCCAGTGCACCCAATTATTTGGCTTGATTAGTAAGCAAAAGATCGGTACTTGGGTACTTGTCGGCATGTAATCCGTACGTACTTACCTAACCTTTGGAAGCAAACATCGGCTAGTTACCATAAAGCATCAATGGTATTTAGTGTATTAGAGTCATTTACACTATCATATCTATCTCGCCCGCAGGAAGTATCTCATAAACTGCTCCCTAATTAGGAGTGATGGAAGCCTCCGTGAAGTGCATTATTACACTACCTCAAACACCGTGTAAGAGAGACCTGGCGGCTTATATCAATCCTTCCGCGCATATACATACGATATTGTCCAAAGAGTCGGGCATCGAATATTAAATAATTTTCTACGTATAATAAAACGACAGGACCTACTCATAAATATACATCAAGTTAAGTAGGGTTATATAAGCATCGCTCAGCTTTTAAAGTAACATTAGATCATGCTCAAGGAATCTTACAGCTAACAAGATCGCGTTCCAGAAATGTACGGCAACTCCAAGGACCGTTTGGTAAGGCTGCAGACCTGCTTCGAGACAGTGTCTTAATGTCATGGCTGTGTAACCAATCGTAGCTTATTATTGGCACGGAAAGATACAATATGACAAGTCATCCCAATCTAAAACTCAGCAGATACACACTATATCGTATCATTAGCATTTTCTAATTCGGGTGCGGCTGAACTCAATCGACAGGCTACGATAATTTCCTAAGATGGTGTGTAGCGTCTTACACACCTTTTACTGCTATATAGGAAACCCCCAGTTTCAATCTGAGGCACTTAGTTCTTACACGGTCCTAAACTTGGGAGTATAGGGGGGGCCTCCCCATCATCGCACCCGACCCTATATCCAGAAATGCAATTCCTATCTAGATAGAGCCTCGTGTGCAATCGGGCCTGGCAGTGTGAAACTCGGATGGGGACACAGCCAAGGAATAATAAAACTGACCCTTTAGTGATGTTTTCGTGTTTTGGTCACTAGCGGTTTGTCCATATTACGGCTGGGAAAGGTGTCATACATGAATCCCTTTTCTCCATTCCACAACCCTATTTCCTGATTTACCATTTCATTTCGTCATGCTTATAAACATTTTCCTATGTAACTGTCTATACACTGTCTATATTATACCCTTCTAGCCCTGAGTTCGATAATATGACTTCGGCAACCGGTACTTCAGTACTGTTGGGACCTTTGACAACAACTTGGACACCACCGCCTGCTTGTACTATCGCGGTTGCAGGTTGCAGTACATGTCCTTATGGATGGCTGGCCCAAACATGCGGTGGGCTCGATGAAGTTCACGACGAGACGTCTTGTTGGCCGCCTAGGACCCTGGGTGCAACAACGCCGGGCCAACCTCTCTTGGCATGGGGCATATATTCACCGGGACTTGTGTGTCCTCAGGGATACACGACGGCTTGTTCATATAATGGTGCGAAGAAGACAGGGGACTTCAACTTTTACTTCAGCCCTGAAGAATCAGAAACAGCTGTTGGCTGTTGTCCACCGTAGGTTAAAATAACCCTTCTTAAACCTCGATGCTGAAAATATGAAAAGGGGATATGCCTGTTCTCGGAATGCTGCCGGCCAGACATGCATCACGACATTGACCTCAACCACAGTCCCGACTGTGACATGCGAATCTGGGACCAGCGCTCATTTTGAATACGTGACGATACCATATGCTGCGGCCGACGTTAGTACTATCCAGGTTATCTCGACTTTCACGGTCTTCGCCCCTTTATTCCAACTCAACCATCAGGCCTCTGACTTCCCGAGTACCACGAATAAGGCAACCGTCCCGTCTACCAGCGGCGCGATATCCTTATCACCAGCGCAGACTTCACCACTACAAGCTTTACCAACGCAATCATCAAGTGCGCAAGGTCTATCCGCTGGGGCGCAGGCTGGTATAGGCTGTGGCGTTGCTCTCGGTATCATTCTGCTAGGAACTATAGCCTTCTGCCTGTTTCGATCAAGAAGACGGAGGGTCGGCCCTCACCCTATCGAATTGCAAAGCGCTGAACAGGAAATGAAGTTTCCAATAGAGTTCCACGCGCAAGCTCCTGCAGTACCTATGGGAACGAGGCCAACCAGAGAAGCGGCCGAGCTTGACGGCAGCTATGGAATCAATCAAGGTTTTTACCAACCATTAACCAGACCTTTTAGTTAAGCTGCAAGGCAGGGCTGGTGTCACTTTATATTTTCGCGATAATGGAATTCGAGTATCATAATGAACGACGTGAGGCGATTTTCAAATTTCCTCGTGTTTTTGACAACTATAGTCCCCGCGCTATGTACTAGAAACGAGGCGTTTTGGTAGATGACTGGCGTGGAGGGCGTTTACAATTCGCATACGACTTTTCGTCTAGTTGTACTTTACGTTGTACTATCGGCTATTGTATGTAGGTATCAGTGGGCTCTCGGGGGCAAGTATAACAGGGGCTAGCTTGACCTTCGTATTGCCGGGTGGAATAGAGATGTTATTCCATGAGAATATCCTATAGGCATCAAATAGTCGGTGGGCTTCTCATTGCGACCATCCTGGACCATGTATGTTAATATGGAAGGCCCGCCACATAGGAAAGCCCAATGCCTTAATAGCGATACGTTCCGGCTCGAGCTTATATTATACGCATTTAGGATGGTCTTAATCGGCTAAGCCTGAAAGAAATAGTATAAACCATATCATAAAACGATCCGAAAGGCCAATTTCATGGCCTTGAATGGGCGGAAAGCACGCTTGAACTGTTCGTAGAAAAGGGGCAAAGACCATTTGGCTGGCATACGGGTCATGTTTGAATGTAGGTGAAGCGGACAGACTAGAGAGCAAGGTGTTCGACATATAAACTAACAATTTAAAGTCTTTATATACTACGCTCAGAAGAACTCAAATATATAAACAGGATCAATGGTCACTTTATAGACATTATTAATATATTAAGACTATAAAGGAGTAATTCGAACTCCGATAGACCCGGAGCTATTCCCTATATCTGTTCCAACCACAATATTTTTCTTTTATTTCTGGTAACTCTCTCTTATTATTATATCCCTTCGCACATACGACCTGGGCTAATTAAGATATGTTCAAACGACCAGGTTGGAACAACGACATCGCGAAGAATCTCCTACGATATATTCCCAGGGAGGCAAACAAAGCTCCCATGAGTTAAGTGAAATCGAACCAGGTCAATCTGACGTGGTCAAGCCAGAAAAAACTTGTAATCCTAAAGTAGCGTCACAGGAAGTGCCCCGTCAGGCGCCGTGCAGTTCTCAACATGGTAGCCGCCCAATTCGCCGCCGTCGGCACAACTCATAGTTAAACTACCGTTCGCAATACCCGTATACGCAACCCTAGACGAAGATTAGGGAGGGCTTCGCGACCGGGGAAAAAGAGGTGGGCAATGTATAAAGGAAATACTCTCTCTCTCTCTCTCTTAGCCAGTAGCATTAAACTTATTTCCCCCCGGAAGACCTCAAGGCGGAGAGAGAGAGATTCTAGGTTAGACAGGCAAGGAAAGTAAACGCAAGAACAAGAACAAGACCTCCTCCCAACTAACTCACAGTCGTCCCACATCATCATGGCAAAACCACGTCTGATTCACGGCAAGAAACCGCTCCGCACGATGAAACGCCGCGCCCGTCGCGATGGTAAACCGGTGCTTGCCGTCGGAGTCGCGGCGGTCCGCGCACGCCTGCCACGACGCGTCGTCGACCCAGGTAGCCGGGTCGCCGGCGGAAGATAGACGGCCCAGCGGGAACGCGCAGGTCGTGGACGCGCCGTTGGCCAAGTTGGCGATAGCAAACGACATCGACATCAGCTGCCGCGGCACCAGGCCCCCGTCGTCGTCGCCCTGCCCGGGCACCGCGGTGTAGTTCCCGTAGCTGATGAAGCTGAGAAGGAAGGTCGTGTTGGTCGATGCGGCTGCGCAGTCTGAGGTGGTGCTTGCGATGGACTTGGGGGAGAGTACGGCGGCGGCGGCGACGGGTGGGGTGGTGGTGTTGCGGTTGATGTCGATGTAACGGTTGTGGTATAGGAGGGCTTGGGACTCGCCGATTAGGGAGAATAAGGGGAGAGGGATGCGGAGTAGTAAATTTCTCATGGCTTTAATTTCTCGTTTCTCGTTTCGCTTTAGTACTAGTCTCAGGCTTGTAATATCTTCTTCATAGAATAGGTAGTTACTCTTAATTAGGTAGAATAAAATAGGTCTATAGCTATGGGCTCTCTACTCCAGCTTCGCTTGCGCGCTCTCCCATCAGACGTAATGTTAACACGATGTTCACCCGTTGCCCTCGCCACCAGATTGCAACCGAAGAGCAGGTCGGGGTGGCCTCATCGCCTCATCGCGACATCATCAAGACCTTCGATTACGGTTGCTATTTGCTGGCAAAATACTAAGATAACTCCACTAGTCGATATTAACTAATTAATTGAATCACTCAGAACCATAGAATAGGCGAAACTGGGATGCGGATTTTATCCATGCTTAGTGTCGAGTCGTAGATTTTATCCACGATGACATGGGGATTTTGCTGGGTATGGCATACAAGGGTTTCATTCACGGATCGATCCAATTATATCATCGTAGCTACTCGTCAGAACTCTAATTCAACTTTATATAATAGTATTAATAGTAGCGATGCTATGATGTCTATTAGCTACTTATGCCTCATAATTCTCTTTCTAGTCGCCAATGTTTGTAATGTTGCAAAATATCTCAACACATATTTTACTCCCTAATGGATGGGGACATCATCGCCTAAGGGACAACTCTGAGATCTTAACATCGGGATGGTAGTAACTCCTAGCGCCGCTTCACAGCTTGAATTTTTTCCCCTCGTTTCTTTCCGGCCTGTTCCTGTTTTGTGATACTGCTATTGAAATACAGCATCGCCGATACCCCTGTTTGTTTAAATCCTTATCCGACAGAACACCTAAGGCCGAGCGCTCAGAATTTTATGACTGCATATAGTTAGGGCGTTAGGTGCGTTTTGCAGTTTGTACGGGACGAAAAAGGTAGGTACATGGTCCCTTTTGTCCGGTCGAAATAAGGGATTCTTGTGGCGCACCGGGGAGGGCCGAGTCGGGGCAGTTAGGTAGGTAAACGAGACGAGTTCGTGAGAACCGCCCTCTTTCAATTAACTAATGCGGTGAAGAAAAAAGGAAGGCAGCCGGGTGCCACGTACTTGATAATACCTACTACCTATCCGACGCGAAGCAGCTTCTTAGCAGCGGAAGGTAGATATTTCGGAAAGAGTTGGCGTCTATGGTCTTTAGGTTGTACGCCCATCGTGTCGTTTTCTCTGGCGGACTGGATGGAAGCCGGTTGGATACGGCTAGTTCGGGGGACGGGACGTAGACAAGGTACCGCAGGGTCGGTGACTTATTGTCTACGTGCGTTAGCCTTTAGGTCATGTAGTCGAGGCAATGCCCAGCTATAAGCTTTAAGCTTTCTTCGCATTGCGGGATAATGACATGTCATTTTATTTTATGCAAGTGTTCGTCGGTTTCTATTTACCTCGGGATCTAGGCTCCCGGGATCTGAAGAAAAGAAGAAGAATAAAAAAAGGGGGTACCTATTATAGCCATACAATTTTAAACCGGCAACATATGCCCTGGACAATTCTCATGCATGTGTCCCCTTTCCGTATCGATCGGCTAGGTACATCGCAAGGCTGAGAATGATATAATGGCTTGGGCTACGTAGATTGTTCGCATCGGAACTTAGCCTCCCGGAAAGTCCCTAGCCTTTATGACCGGTATTATACATTATACAGAGACACGTTCGACCCCATACTAGAGGACCCTAGAAGACGGGCGAGCGCATTGTCCCGAATATTTATACTGACCACATGGATGCTATGCCACCTTGTTGTAATACCATGCTAGACGAATCAGGAGGGGAAGAAGCAGAAAAGAGAGAGAAACAGAGGCGTATGAAATAGGTCGCCAAGACCGATCACAGCGGTCGGTGGATGCAGGACCTATATTGTCCACGCCTCTCGGTACGGGGAATATAGCTGTACTTTAGACAGTGACACCGGGCCTGACCGCGACACCACCGCGGTGTTTACATAATATTCTCTAACACCGCAGTGAGATGGCTTGGCTTATAAGGACTTGTGCATACCGGCAACGTGTGCGAGGGCCAATCCTATGATACGGAATTAATCCCGAGCTACCTTAGCCCTGTCAGATTCACCGGGGACTACGGGTATAACTACAAGATAGCCGAGATACGACCTACACCGGGTTTTAATGTACGAGATACCTTTTACGCCGTCTTCTAAGACCGGAAGAATCCTAATTACAGCGTTGAGCCATTGGTTTCGCCTTGAATCTCGGATATCTACCTAACCTAGGTAGCAAAGAAGGAAATATCATATTAGTACCTAACTATACACTCACGCAAGTTAGTCTCTAGGTATACTTTGATAGACGATACGACCCCACGCGTTCTAGGTCCCGTAGACCCCAACGATGTAGATCGATCGGCAAGTCTCGACCTGAGTAGAAGAGACATTACATGTATGCGTGTAACGAACGGCGGAGTGGGCGTGGGCGTGGGCGTGGGCTAGGAGGAGGGGGTGGGGGATTGGAAACCGGGGCTGGCGAGTCGGGGCTTGTTGGGAACAAGCGCGCTGCCTTCGGAGCCCTGTTTGTCTTGCCAAGCCTACGCACTTCACGTATGACATGAGGAGATGGCACCTGTTGCGACCCGGACTACATCGTTAATATAAGACACTGGGGTTTGCGTGGGGGTGATAAAGGAGTAGCCAGGGGGGAGCAAGGGGGCTCATATAGATCCGCACGCCGGGTAGGGGCATCTGCAAGCCTGACGTCGTGTAACGGCGACCCGGCAATCTCGAACGTCAGACCAGGGTAAGGGACGACGTATGAGGTCCCCATCATGGGGGTACTAGTGGCAGGGAGAGGGATTTTTTAAGATACGTGCATATCCGGTGCTGCGGCCGTGTTCTGCATATGCAGGTGTGCTTCTGGGATTATAACCTCATACATACGACTGACGACGCCGATGCAGCGTTTATAGGGATGAGAGAAACACGAAATGATCCGTCATGTGCCATGGCATGAGCACATATTCTAGTTCCCATTCTTGTGAGGGCGAGAGCCGCATCGATGAGAAATGAGCTCGCTATCCGTCTGTGTTCAGCCCGTTTCTGAAGAGGATGGCGTGGTAAATTATGCCATGACCATTTACTATGGGCCCTGCGAAGCACGGAACGGAAGAACCTGCCTTGGCTGGAAAGGAGATGACGACGCATTCGGATCTGTTAGGACGAGTATACCTTAATACCGGATTAGGCCATGGTTATGTTAATTGTACGATGAGTTTCGGGCTTCCTATCAGACATGGCCACGGGTGGCCTGATATTTTCATATGGACATCTACAAGTGCGTAGTTACATTTACGGTAGCGACGGTTGAACCACCACGTATACCAGCCAACAGGGAACCGCCTTCCATATCCAGGAGCCAACAGAAGAAAGCCAATAACAGAATTCCGCAGATTATAGCTAATACGGAACACGAAAAACCATCGCTTAATCCCGGTGTAACCCTTCCAGCCTAAATCATCGTGGCTTAGCTTGAGGAAACTGTGGTGTTGGTCTAATGCCGCTTGCTTGACTTCTCCTTCACGTCCGACTTCTTCGAAGACGATGACGAAGACCCATGGGCAATAACGACACCGGATTTATGGGATTTGCTCTTTTTATCGCTAGAACTCAACCCCCGAGGAATATCCTTCTTGTCCCTTTTCTCTCGGTCGTCCCGTCTCTCCTTATGCCCAGAGGTCCGGGAGTGGACGATCTCATTTTCTGATACTCCCTCTTTGGTATAGTCAACCTTTAGTTCACGGCCGTCGCACTTGTATCCGTTAAGCCGCCGAACCAGCTTATTAGCCACTTCTTCGTTTTGAAATGTGACTAGAGCATAGCCTCTATTCGATTCTTGGCCTTCCGTTAGTGGTAGGTCAACATGCTGAATTTTATCAGCATCGGATCCGGCTTTCTTTCGGATGAGATCTTGTACCTGGTTGAAGGTGATCCAAGGTTGGAGCTGTTTCACGATTATTTTTCGCTGCTTGGTGGGGACCATACCATTTGAGGAATCACTAGGTCTCCCTGATATAGATTCCGGGCTGGGTAAATTGCTATACATGGCGTAGTCGTTTCCGTGATACTCACCCATCTGATATTGCTGTGAGTAAGCTGCCTCATAAGGATATTGTACCATCGGAGGAGACGAAACCATGGCCGTTTGGTCTAGGTAGCTTGTAGTCGACGTGTCGTAGGTATAGCAGTTAGGCGCCTCGTTATAATCATACGGCATAGCAACAGACATGTTGTAAGGTGTGCACTCCATTGAGGAAGTAGCTACGTATGTGGAAGGACTTGCGGGAGATGTCCACTGTGGAAAGTTAGTTGGCCCTGTTTCGTCTGGGTTGGGAGATTCTTACCTCCCCATATCCCGTCGCGAGCGGTGACATTAATGGCGGTGTGCTAGCTGAGTATTGTGTCGAAGGAGGCGTTCTGTACCTCGGCGTATGAGAGGGTTTTGAGGTGGAGTTTCCAGTTGCAGAGACACCCACAGGCTCTCTGATCATAATGGGTTCTGTGGCATTTTTCCCGTCTGCCAGAAGTGCCCGACCGTTGAAGACACCCCCATTAAGCAAACCTGTAATCGACCATTAGTTAAATCTTTAATACAAAAAATGGTTGGAACCTCAACATACGAAGAGCTGCATCGTAATTTTCCCGGCCTCGAACCGAGACCCAGCCAGAGGTACTCTCGTTGAATACTTCAACTCGCTCAACGGCGCTCACGGTTCGTACATGGTCTTTCAGTTGCTGCCAAGATGTTTGCCATGGTAACTTTTAACCGCATTGTCAGCACGAAGAAGCTGTATAGTATAGATTGCACGATGTAAATAACATCAATTCACGTTCGACTTACGTTTGAGACCAGAATATAGTATATGTTGGTTTGATTTCCGGGTGAAACTTTTGTTTGAATAGTCCCATTGATGGGGACTTGATGAGAAAAGGTATCAGAAGACATCGTGAACGGACAGCTGCAGCTCTCCAGACTTTACTCGAAAATGTTTGGCAGGGTGCACCCTTGATGAGAAAATCGTGTGGAACAAGCACAGCAGTATGAACGATCTGATGGGGCTCTTTATATGTTGCACGAGGTTTCCTATGATCTAGAGTATGAGCTGACCAAGGCCTGTTTTCTTCACCATCACCTAGCGTCACACAGGATAACAGCCTGAGGTTTTGGGGGGATATATTAGAAGCTTAAATTTATGCAAGAATACCTTTCGAGATGGATCGTTCCGCGTCAGGTACATCCAATAGGCAAAGCTTTCTTTACCGGTGACATGCACCATCGACTGGGCGGATATTTCAGCGAGTGAAGAAGACCATTGTTATAAGCATATGGAAATATTATTAGAACGTAGGTAAATATGCTAGTCCAATGGTCCAATAGGATTTCGGCCGCCATTGATCGCGGCAGTATGCTGCCTGCACGAAGAGGAGACAGCCAGACCAAGATTGTTGCTAGGCATAGTGAACTCTCATATTTCGTCCAAGGACCAAGATCTGGAATCGATCGAAGCTGACGAGGTATGGGTAGATGACTCCTTGTCGCATTGTACCCGGTGACGGGGGTGGTCCTATTACTAACGTTAAGGAGATAATCCGTTGGACGAGATCTATACATAATGATAGTATAGCTAAGGTGGGTAACGATGCAGTACGAAAGGGATCTAGAAAAGGACAATCTAACCTATTACAACGTGCGGTGTCAACTCCGAGGGCTTTTTCGATCCCACGAGCCTGGATATCTATAGCTTATATCTTTGAGGCTCATGTATCTCGGGATTCTCAACGCCAGCATCGAACTATCGGCCATTTCGACTATGTTGGTCAAACCACGCATTCTGCAGCAAGGGCATCGTGGAGGTGGCGTTTCGATGGCTTTTAATCCTTGTTAACCATTGGGCGTTTCTCGAGTAGCAACTTATGGAATTCTCCTAGTACAATGTTGCTTCTTGCTAGCGGCAAGCTGGATCGAGTATCCGCGGTTGGCAAACATCTTGAAGTAAATTGCCTCTCCAAGAACGTTTTCTTGCATGAGGTAGCACAGCAAGGGTATACCTACTGCCCGTTGTTGGCTGCTGCGTAACTGAAACCGCCCACCATCAAGTTCTCTCTCTCCAATATACCTAGGTAGCTAAGCTATTGACTTGGCAGACGTACTCCTAACGGCAATTTTATTTCGAAACGACTATGATTATCGAACCCTGGAGTTGAGTATCAGTCATCGCTCGCAGACCGAATGCTTTTTTTTCTTTTCTTTTTTTTCAATTAGCGTCTTATGTTTGTAGTTCAGCCGAATCTCCGAAGCAAATTTGAACCGATCGCCGCGCAAACAGTACGAATATCCGCAAGTATCCTGCATCTTCCAAGTGACTGGATGGCTAGGTATTCTTGCATTCGGAATGGTTGGCATTGCCTTCGGAACTAAGCTAAAAAGCTATAATTCTACGGCCCCTGGGCACTGGGTATCCTGTCTAATATCTCATTCGTTTGAGATATGATAGAATATTAGGGCAGCTTAGTGGGTAATGAACTGGAATGTGTCATCTGGCTCGCTAGTATCATCGTCTATGTCAATTAAAATGCTGTCTTCAGCATCCTCTGAAGGTGATGCGGGCCTTAGTGATGACTGCATGCCCATATCGTCCCCATGACTGATGGTATTAATGGGCGCAGAAGCACCTCGCCAGGGAAGGATTTCTCCATCGGAATCTGCAAGTGAAACCATCATGCAGGTTGTGCTGTCACTAAAGAAAAATGCAGGAGATTCTGATGTCGCCCCCAGCCATGTGGCGTACGTCTTGCTATTAGTCGCGCTTGCAAGTCGGTGTGCTGCTAAGTCAACCGAGCGCGGGCCGTGGCTTAAAGGATCCCAGGCGAACACGAGACTGCCGTAGCTATCACCCTCACATCTCATGAGGAGGAGCTCGGGCTGCATAGGGTGCCATTCTAGTTTTGTTACATTGGAATGATACATTAGCACCGCCCGAAGATCGGAACTAGAAATATCCCAGATCCAGATCGTACCTGGTGCATCTTCTAGCCTCGTGGCCAGGAGGGACGAAGAGCAGTCGAATTTGGCAAAATTACAGCCTGACACGGGTTCCTGAAGGCTATTCAATGCCGTCCATTCGGGGGTCACCATCTGGGTGGCTTTGACGAATTCTGGCGACGAGAACGACCCAGTATTGGGAAATGTATTTTTCTCTTGCCAGATCTTCGCAGTTAGCAGACTGTCGTACAACCCCACCAAAGGGGCGACTTACTTGTAATGTATCTTTTGGTTGGACAACCTGGGGGTGTCGGAGCCGCATGGCTTCCACCATGGATGGTGTGTTTAGTATGCATGTGCAAGTAGAACCGTTAGCAATTGCGACACGTCGTCCATCTGGACTCAGAGCGACTACTTTAACACCTGCACTATATTGAAGGCCCATGTCCTGAGATTCGTATGGGAGGGGACCTCTCCAATCCTTGAAAATGTGGCCATCAGAAGTGTAGAAAAGGACCCTGGGAGCTTGGGCGGATGACTCCCACACCACCAACCACCTCCCGTCTGGGGTCCAGGCTAATCCTTGGGCATCGATGGTGTCAGGATACCAAGACCGTTCAATGTCCCTCGTTTCTGGGGAATGTATGCTAATCATGTCCTTGCCGGAAGACCTTGTGAGCAACGCAAGGTGGTGCGAGCTCGCCCGAAAGGAGTATCCCTTCGTCGCAGAAGCGGCATTGTAAAATTTGGGGTTAGCAATTTCTACTGCTTTTGAGCTTTCAAAATTGATGATGGTTAGCTTGATGCCGAAAGGCGACCATATGTAAACCTCGTGATCAGTAACTCCAAAATCGACGAAGGTAGGCTTGGTGGCTGAAGAAGGAATCCTAACGGTTCCATGAAAATTGCCGTCTCGGGCCGAAAATACATGTATCTGATCGGCAACAGCCACTAAGAGTCGTGTAGAGGAAGGTGACCAAATGAAATTTGATACGCCGCCGGTAAGATCCAGTGGTAGTTTGATGGTCCGTAGGACGTCTAAGGACTTAACAGCTCGTACAACGATACTTGATGGTAGGAGCGTAGCAATGAGTTCGCCATCTGGGCTCGGGTAACAGTGAGGCGATGCTAGTGGCTAGAATCAGTAACTGGCTTAGGTAGGTACAATAAATAAAATCAAATAGAAAGATAATGGCTTGTTATTGTATAATCTAGGGGTGAGTGAAGTCCTACACTGAAGGGCTTTAGAGAAACGCATGATATAACAACTATGTCTTAAGTTGAATCAGTCCCGGGTTCGATGCTGGTTATTATACAGCTTGTTAATGAGACCGGAGAATTGGCTTCGTGAAGGTTCAGTCATAACCACGTCAACATACGGCAAGGCACGGCTGCCACAGTTTAGGATGGTCAGCCGCAACCACTTGATAGGGGAGCCGTTTGATAAGACTCGATGATTGGTCAGACGTTGAGAGCTCTCAGCTTTATTAGGTAGGTATTCAATTAGGTCTGGGGGGATAACTCTTTGTGGGGGTATGTATTTGTTGACTTTTGTGATAGGTACATGGTTGATGTTTTTTTTGTTTTTTTTTTTGGCGAGTTAGGGATTAGGGATCAGGTCCGGGTCCAATAAGTTTGAACCTAATACCCAATTAGTTACCTACTATGTAAATACAGATGACTACGAGTTCGGGGCATGCGCCCCACACTGATCCACCTTCCTCGTGCTTATCCCGGCTTTGGTCTTTAAACCCCGTTGCTTACTCATCTTAGTTATACGCATCTCCGCGCTTGTGGCAACACTGGCAACACTCCGGAACCTCGAATTATACCATCTGTTGAAGTCGCTCAAAAGCTAGTATATGACGGATTTCTCGATTTTTGTCATATGTATATGCAAGAGAGGAAAAATAACACGGTCACGATGCCTTATTTCCCGTAAACTATTCATTTAATTTAACTAGTAGGTTATATCCTCAGTATGACGTACAGGGCTTTCCCGCCTCGTTGGGCGCGGACCGTATCGGAGGGTCTGCAGCCCCGGTTCGGAAGATGTCGCACTGAGCCTCTTCGACGAATCACTACTGCTGCCGCTGCCGCTGCCGTTCAGACCATCCCGGGACCGGCGAATCCGGCTGAGGCGCCGACCGTTCAGTTCTCGCGCCGCGAACTGCTAAAAGATGCAAAACCATTCTCCGATTTTCTTACGGACACTTTTCATCGACAGCACGACTACTTGCGCATTTCGCTTACGGAACGGTGTAATCTTCGGTGTATCTACTGTATGCCAGAGGAAGGAGTCCCTCTTTCACCTCCAAAGGAACTACTGACAACGCCCGAGATTGTCATGCTGTCATCTCTATTTGTTTCCCAAGGCGTAAACAAAATCCGCCTCACCGGCGGTGAGCCTACTATCAGAAAGGATATCCTGTCCCTGATGGAGCAAATCGGCGCCCTTCGGTCACACGGCCTTAGAGAAATCTGCCTTACTACTAACGGTATAGCTCTTCACCGAAAGCTCGAGAGAATGGTGGAGGCCGGTTTAACAGGTGTTAACTTGAGCCTGGATACGCTAGATCCATGGCAATTTCAAATCATGACGCGGCGGAATGGATTCGATGCCGTGATGAAAAGCATCGAGAGAGTCCTCGAGCTGAATAAGCACGGAGCTGGAATTAAGCTTAAGGTCAACGCGGTTATCATGCGAGGTATCAATGACCGAGAGATTATCCCTTTCGTTGAGATGACTCGAGAGAAAGATATCGAAGTAAGATTCATTGAATACATGCCATTCGATGGTAATAAGTGGAACAAGGGTAAAATGTTCAGTTATACCGAAATGCTGGATCGTATTCGCGAGAATTACCCCGATCTCAAGAAGATACGAGATCACAAGAACGATACTAGCAAAACCTACAAGATCCCCGGTTTTGTGGGCAGGATTGGCTTCATTACCAGCATGACGCACAATTTCTGCGGAACCTGCAATCGTCTTCGCATTACAAGCGATGGAAATCTCAAAGTTTGTCTCTTTGGAAATGCAGAAGTCTCGTTGCGAGATATATTAAGGGAATCTAATGGCGGCGATCCGATCGACCAGGAGACTTATGAGGCAATGAGAACTATAGCGATGGACGCGCGACGGCAAATATCAGAAGAGCCAACTTCCCTTGGCATAGCACCTAATGAGCGCAAACTCTTGGAGGTCATAGGTATGGCTGTAAAGAGGAAAAAGGCTAAGCACGCAGGCATCGGTGAATTGGAGCATATGAAGAATAGGCCCATGATACTCATAGGTGGGTGACTCCTAGCGCGCGGGAACGAAACCCTCGGAGGATTGCGACCAGGTACAAGTCTTGCTTGACTTGGGATGTCTAGGAGGACCCGAACTGAATGGTTATCTGGCAGGTTCGCAGCAATATATTCCAGCCAATCGCTCCCAAGTTTCGGCTTGGGATACTATCCAAAACCCTCTGGTAGTACCGCTTGCTTCCAAGCAGCTTTCCCCTTGGCTACTTAAAATGCCAACCCGTTTCATCAATGGGCAGCAACTACGATGCTTCTCACTTGGCAGCTCACGACCTGACAGGAAGCATGACACAGCTAGATTAACACATGTGTCTGAGTCTGGTTCTGCCCATATGGTCTCCATCTCAGACAAGACACCTAGCAAGAGAGTCGCCAAGGCAGCCTGCAGCGTCCATTTTACAAACGAGTTGGCATGCAAGCTCATAAAGGAGAATCAAATCAAGAAAGGAGACGTTTTAGGGGTAGCTCGCGTAGCCGGTATTATGGCCGCAAAGCGAACATCTGATCTCATTCCGTTATGCCATCCCATTGCCATTACCAAGGTCGCTGTAGACCTTGTTGTGCTCGAAGATGAGCATAGCGAAAACGGTCGAGTCGAGATTGAGGCTACTGTAGCCTGTGAAGGCAAGACCGGGGTAGAGATGGAGGCTTTGACGGCGGCTTCTACGGCAGCGTTAACTGTTTATGACATGTGCAAGGCGGTAGATAAGGGGATGAGCATCCAAGGCTTGAGAGTCATTCTAAAGGAGGGGGGTAAGAGTGGCCGTTGGGTAGATGGAGCCCAAGATGACTCGATGGGACTAAACTAATAGGATCTACCTATGCTTCAGACCTTCATCATGAACATATACAACTATACTATACGCCTAATATATGCCACTTCCACCATTCCTACTAACCATCTGGCATGTGTGGGTAGCAGCTTCGTCTGTATGTATTATTACGCTAACATCGAATGATCTTTGCTTGTGAAGCTCTTGCAGGAGAAGGCCTTTGAGTAAGGGTCGTCTGCGGTTGTGTTGCGGGGAGTTTAATTCGAGACACCAGCATTAACCCCGCCATTGCTGCTGGTCACCGAGCTGGAAAGCTTTTGCCCAGCCTGGGCTAACCTCCAATCACACCTCGGCGATAACAAAACTGAGGTTCAGGTCCACTTCGAGGACCCCTTTCCCACTATATTCGGGTCCATCGCCTTCTAACTGTGTGGATCCTAGAACCTTGTCCGTAATAATAATACTTGCACGTAAGAAAAGACGCATAGGTCGAGAATCCAAGAGGCCGTGATCTTCAGAGATCTTGCATATCGCCAACTAGCGGGGTGATTAAAAAGCAAAGTGTTCCCTTGGCTACCTGGTAATTCGGTATACACCTATCTGTATACTCGACGTCACAGCGAGTAAGTCAACAGGTATGATGTCAAAGCACGAGACCTGCGTTATCAAGATCTATCAACCCGTCAGGCATAAGCTTTGCTTCGTAGCATTCTGTATATACATACTCGTATACGAAGTACAGCACGAACAAAAAGGCACGTGAAGTTGAGGATTGCGACGGGCGAATCAGCACTGAAAGTTGTTACTATTGGACTGTCAGCTACACAAAGTGCATATACTACATATGTAATGTGCATATAATACGTTAATTAATTTAGCGGTCAAGCAGACCCCGGCCTCTTAACTCGACAACCCGGACACGGTCGTACAAGAGCTGGAGCCTCGACTTTAAAGCCAAGCATCCTAAACGCACTCGCATTAGTGAAGTTGCAGCCTCCAATCAGCGAAGACCGAAAGATAAACCTGCAGAAGCGCAAACACTGTACCGGACTGTGGCGCTTCCATCGCCGCGCTATAAAAAAAAAATTAGACTACCTAGGTACATGTGGACTAATATATTATCTAGAATGCCATCTCTATCGGACGACATGTTACTGATCTTGAAAAGACTCGAGAAATCTCGATTTGCTTCGCCACCAAGAAATAAAATAGCGGTTTTTCGATTTGCATCCTCTCTATTTTGTAGTTCTTGAAGAAAGGATTCGACTTAACAGGTACCTACTCTATAAAAATGATATTGTTGTGTGCGCGTGAGGGAAAAGAAAAAACAGCACTGCGGGAGGTCGGATCGTGGTGGAGTCACCAAGGGCCTAGGACCTACATATGTAGATCTGCATCGCCGTCGTCCGACCGGATCTCTTGAAAACAACGCAAAGTCAAGTCTTGACAAATGTCAACTTCACATCGTGAGGTCATCGCAACAGGCCTCCCAGCTTCTTCATCGACGCATGTAACAATCGATAGACACTCCCGACAGTATACGGAGTATCCACCTACTGTGAGCTGTGGTCTGTTACATTGCGATAGATTGCACCCAGGTTAGCCGTAGTAGTGGTCGAATGGAGAATGGAATAAAAGATGGCTGACGCGCCGACGTGCCACAAAAATCCCTATAATAAATAAACGTCCTGCACGTCAACTGTAACAGGCCGCTTGCTTTTTTCCTGGGAATCGGACTCAAGGTGAGTTAATCTTGATGTAGAAAGAAGGATGAGATGATTGCTCAAATTAGTATCACCGGCCACTCATCTTGGGTAGAATACATAATTATTTGCTGTTGATTGCGCTGTTGATTGCGCTGTTGATTGCGGAGGGATATCCCAGAATGTCTTCTACTTGATGAGATAGATTGTAACGAAATGAAGGGCTGGAAGGGTCCAACAGGAAAACCTGACGTAAGTTGGTAAGTCAACGGATTTTGAACCGCCGAAGATCGGTATCCAGCGACCTTGGACAGATTGGGTAAGAGGACAGGCGAGCAGCCAGGAAACGATACCGTGCCGGGCCATGGGGTCGTTTTGGGCTTGGAGGGGAAGGATGAGCTTGAAGCGGCGCAAGTTCGCAACAACTTACACTAAACTTCAAGTTGTTTGCATGTTTAATTATTTACACAGAAATGATGATAACAATCTGCACTAACCAGGACGGACATCCTTAGTCTTGTTGGCGTTATAAACTTGGCAAGAAGAATGATGCAGCGTAATTTCGAAAGCAGTGGTGAGGAAATGGAAAGAAAAAGAAGCTGGGCTGCTGGGTAAGAGTAATGTCAAGTGCATCTCGAGTATAAGCACAGTACGAATTGTGTCTACCAGACTTAGCTAATTCAACTAGGCCAATCAGGATGGACTCAAATACTACGTAAGTGGACGCCGCTTGATGTTATCGAGGGGTTCCCGGCCCACCAAGTGCCACCCCGGTGCCACCACGGCCGGTCGACTATCTGCGTCGGGGAACTTCTCTCTTTAGTGCGGTTCTTGGAAGGTGGAAGGTGCCAGGTAGTAGGTACGCAGTACGTACTTTACTACTTGACAGAAGGTTATTATTATCCCTCCTCCCCTATTGTATCTTTTTGTCCTCCCTTACATATCATATCAATCATATCAATCATATCACCTACTTCACCTTTTATCTTATGCAACAGGTATTCGCTCCAATGCCTCAGATCTGGTAGCCTACGAATCTTTGATACCTTTTTCGCCTTATCACTTATCCTGATTTAAGCTCACCTTACATCACACCCTTATCACAAGCGCGAGGATATCATTCATCCTCCAGTCACCATCCGTGCCGCCACTGTTTTTAGAGTTAGGATCGAGCCTTCCTGATACAACCAATACACCCTTCCATCCAAGTCATTAGCTTCCCGGCGATAACCTCTACCGTTGACTAACTCAATTGTACGACTCGTACAAAGTCAAAGGTTGGGACAAGCCAGCATTATTTATTTTGTCTGGTCTTAATAAACTCTTGGGGCTTTTTTTTCGGCCAGTCTTTGGTTGAGCAATAATTACTACAACAATAATTTGGTCGCGAAAGCTTACGCCGCTTATCGCATTCTCAACATTCGCTAATTTAATCTTCCCTATCTTACTTTTATCATTCTATCCTACTTAACTCCTTTGGCAAATTACCGACACCGTGTCTCACACGCTGGATTCCGTGCGCGGCTGCGAAAAAAGGATGGCGACTGACTTCATAATGCCCAGGCCAGCTGAGCAGCCGCAGGCGCATTTCTATCCTTATCGCCAAATGCCCACCGCGCCGTCGCCATCTCCGACCTATCCATCTCAAGGATACCATTCTCAACAGATCTCGCCCTTGAGCACTTCTACCAACGCCTCACCTACCTCCTCCAAATCCTCCAAACCGTATCATCGTCAACGCTTACGGCCTCTCTACATGCCCGCAGTTTTAAGACCGACCGAGCACCCCTACAAGAGGAAGACAGAAGCACAGGAGGATGATAATCCGGTATCGTCTAACAGCAGCTTCATCAGCCTGGCCGGATTGGGCGCGCTTAGCCGACTGAGTCGCCGTACTACAGGTGACAGCGGAAAGTGTGTAGATGATGACGATGATGACGAATGGGACTTGGATATGTTTCCTAAGCCGACGGCGCAACCCACGCGGCAACACTGGAAGGTAAGTCCTGATCGGCAGGCTGTGTCTCAGATATGCAGCCTTACAAACTGCGGCATGTCCACGCATGACCTCATTTCGGTTTTCATGGTACTACAAGAATTCCAGCTGACATCGTATAAACTTAGCCCGACACGGAATCGACTATTTGCGACGAGCCCTCATGTATGCGCCACTTCAACTACTGGACACGCCGGCATCACTGTCGGAAATGTGGCAACATCTTCTGCGATTCGCATTCGGCATACGATGTTCCTCTCGATCAAGACGCGAATTATAACCCACGAGGTACTCCGAGCCGCGCGTGTTCCCACTGTTTTTCAGAGTTCAAAGCGTGGCGTAGTCGGACAAATAGCCAGGCTTCTAGCGACACGTCTTCCACCGGCAGAGAGTCGCAAACCGCACCCTCAAGCCCAGCCGCTTCAGCCCCGACGGCAATCCAAGGTCAAAATGGCCATGATCAGGACATCGCGGCGAGCGTTCCACGGGACTGGAACTGGAGTACCTTCTGATGGATTTGGAATCGGATGCCTCCGTTAGGGATATAAATATCCTTTTATACTCGATACCGGGTGTCTGCGAATCCGGATTAGCCTTTACGTCAACTTCTCAGAGAGAATTCTACAGACCTAAGTGATGATACACGAGACAACGGATCTAATCACAACGACAACAACGACAACTTTCCCCGCGATGACGGGATATACATACAACCTTCACATAGACTAGAAATTTCCAGGATAGACTGGAACTACGGTACAGGTGCATATTTCTGCACGAATCTCATGCATTGCATGGTGGTATCATTGTTGGATTTCTTTTCGGCCTACGATACCCAACTTTCAAGTACTAATTTCGATATCGAATTCCATTGAGCGGCGAGGGGGTGACATGCGCAAGGGAGCGGTTATGCGATTGGTACTGAATGCATCCTGCGGCAAGGTGATTACGGGCGTTTTTTTTTTTTTTTTTTTTTTTTTATCTCAATGATAAAGGGACCGGTCAGGTAGCGTGCATATCACGGGCATTAGAAAGGGATCTTGTTTAGCCCCGGCGTTCAGGTGTTTTCAATACGCATAGTTGAGTCGCATAGTCGCATAGTGGACATAGTTGAGTTGAATGCCCAACCTTCGGGCAGCTCGGTTGCAAGGTCGTTGACGATAACGGAGGATTTGCGCCGAGTAGATTGATTAATCCGAGTTGATTTTTCAGATCACGATTTACTACCTGCTTGGGGTATCTAATCCAACGCAATGGACTGCGGCGTCCGTCATTTATGATAAAGATCAAGTGTGGCAGCCTTCCTTCATTTTAACCGCCATACCACCTGGGCACTCCGGGACAATGCCGCAGCCAATCTCGGGGTCTCGATGAATAAGCTCCCAGCAGCATCCTAGTAACGTCCCAGCAGCTTTAACTACCGTACTTAGCGGCATGCCTACCTAAGCTTACCGGCGTAGTATATACGTAGTATAATGGCATATGCTTGGAGGGTCGGTGAGACTCCGACGTGCCTACCTGCATAAATTCGATCTGGGCAATCGAAGATTCCCATCAGCGTCAAGAGGTACATACACGTAGGTACCTATGTAAGTCTAAGGCAGGTAGCCATTTGGCCGTGTTGGAAAAGCCGAAAGCGGCAAGCCCGACGCTAGCCCTAGCACGCTGCACCGACGCCAAAACCAGGTTGGCGGATCCGGCTGTAGCCGCTAAAACTGCCTAGCTCTTCCTTTTTGGGGGAAGATACCCCCACATAAAATAAAACGGTACAATACCCTTTACTCCTGACATCCGAGGTTATTGCCACGGCGAACGACGCGCGAGAGGCGACGTATGTATGTAGGTACCTACTAAGGTATGTAGTGTACGAGGCGGAAACGCGTCTGTGGGGTGGTCTAACTATATACGTAGCGCGAAGGCGCTATTATAGTGTAGTTCCTATCGGATAAGACAGACAGGCAGGCAGGCAGGCAGGCGGCCGGCACAGCGGATACCTGCTTCGGCGCCGCATTTCCGCGGATTTCCGGAATTCCGCGTTGAGTCCCGGCGGGCATTGTGGCTGACGCTAAATAGAGGCGACTTTCTCGCCACTACGAAATTAGATGCGGATGCAAATATACATATACCTAGGTAGGTATCGTTGGAGGTGGCGTGATTGACATAGAGTAGGTAGCTGAGGTGAGATAGTTCCATATATACATATATGGTGGAAGGGGCGTATTCTTAAGCCAATCTCGTGTGCTAAGGGCCAGCTGTTCATGTGCCACGGTGTGGGGGATTGGGGCGTTTTGTTCGGAGATGACTTCACCGGTGTGTGTGTGTGTGTTTTTCGATGGCGCCGCTCGATTGTTTTGCTTCGGGTGGTGCATGGTTCGGTGGTCTGTAGACCGAGGTTGTGATACATACCGACCCAGGTTGACGTGGTGGTATAGCGATGGCATACATAGGGAAACACCCACGTGGCCTCGTTCGTGATTTACGGTGAAACGGAGGCTGGCCTTGGCTATTAAAATATAGTCCTAACTTCGGGTTACGCCCGAGGGCAGCATATGCGCTGGTCCCGAAGAAGGTCTTTAGTAGGTGTACCAGAGGACATATCCGATCTGGTATACACCCCAATCACTCTCCATGTTTCGTATCTCGCCGTAGTGGTTTTTCCTTGGTCGTCCTGGGCAGTGTAAAGAGCCGAGCTGTTATGCCTTACATAGAATGCTCAGCGCTAGGTATAGCCTCAGTAAGTTTTTCGCCAGCCAACTAATTCTGAAAGTGAAGTAATCGAGTTGAAGGTCAATATGAGGTATACCCGTTAGACTTGAGGTATCTTCAGCTTGAAGAGCTGATATGAATAAAGGAAACCGGTGATCTGTCATTGAATGGCAAAGCTAGTCGTACGTAACTGTTGTGACTATTTCGGAATAAACTTGAAAATGACTCAAGTGACACATGGATAGCTGTCGCTGTAGTGTTCGCGATGTTCGTAGCACCATATATGATTACAACCCAAATCGTAACATATAAAGCTATAAAAGGCAGATGCCAGCACTACTTACACCTTTAACAGCAAGCCATATCTCAGAGAAAGGTTCAATAATGCTCGAGTCTAGGAGTTTGGCATCCATTTTTGTTCCGTATAATAGATCTGCGAGGTACTAACTAGGGCCGAGTCAGAACACGCATTGCCATGCTGCCTACCTTGGTATTTACCTAGGCCCTTTCACAGTTGGGGCTAATATGTTCTTATCGCCCTATTATCAAGTGACTAGAATACACTGCGAGCTGGCTAGGTTATCGTCGTAGGACCGATGAAGTCCGATTCGTAGTACCAGACAGCTGTTCCGATAGACCAAACAGACAAGCTCCTACACGTAAAGCACCGCGACTACATCCAAGAAATACTACCTCTCACTTGCTGAGTAAATAGAATTTCCCCACACCTATAGGACTTAGAGCTTAAGAGTCAGATATGGCAGTCGTAATTTACTTTACGACATTATATCACATCGCAAAAGATCGTCCGTATGATATTGGCTAAATTAAGGAAACTCTTACTTAAATAGCTGTCAGATTGACGGCCGTGATGAGAGTTCTACGTAGAGTAAATGTCGGGATAGTCGTATTGAACTATTAACACTTACCCTTCTACACGCCTCTTATATACCCAATATCCTAGTAGATCTGCCCCTGAATCTACCCCCAACCCACTTACTCCTTAACAGTAGCCTTTTTAATCCAAGTGGCCAATACTGGTTTCCCATGTGCACCATAATCAGAGTATTTGTGTAGATCTGCTTGCAGTCAAAATCTCATCCAGGCGGCTAGGATTAAAAAAAAAGGGGGAGGAGTGAAGTATCTTTGATCATGTTTGTAAAGAGACACGCAACCTTTCATAGTAAATAGCACTTTCTAGAGCATGTCACTATGGTACAATAGTCTGGTGAAAGAGAATCACAAGTGCTGGGTAATAAGCTGGTCATCTTATTGACTGTATCCTGATCTCAGCTGGATAAACTTAGCATAACGTCTTAGTGTACTGATAGTTCGTGATATGGAACGTGTCTACGAAAAAAATGCGCTGGTTGGGGGATATGGTTCTACCTGAGGAACTATGGAAATATTACAACCCGGAGCCTCATAATATCATTCACTCCATTTGCCTATTCCCCTGAATATGCTAGCAGGGTGGTGCGTTGCTTCCTACACATCCTGAATATCTCATCCTACTCATACTTCGTTTCACCGTATGCCATCCAAATCACTCCTTTTACTACCTAACATATCCTTGACACATATTCCTTTTGCCTTGTGGGCAAACATCGCCTGTGTTTTATGTTCGTAGTTTAAGCGCCAGTCTGGACGCCGAACATAAATGTATATAAACTACCTCCTTAGAATTTACAACTCCCCAAAGCATCCCTTCTATTCCTTCCCTTCCCTAAACAACAACAATAACAACAACAACAACAACAACGACATGAGCCACAACTCTCAGCAAACGATGTTCAGTAGCAACAACCCCTTTTCCTTGCTTGACGTTGAGTAAGTACATTCCTTTCCTCCCTCTGTATTATAACTATATAAACATTAGCCTAACCCTATTTCCCACTTCTCTATCCAACGGACATCCTAATCCATGCCTCCCCTCTATATTTTCATCGAGCTCATCTCCTTGTTTTCTAACTACTAACCATATACTTAATTAGTGACGGTCCGGAATCTACCGATTATCCGGTAATAGAGGCTCGTAAGATTATGAGCGATGAAGAACAGAGGACTGCCGGAACTGTCCTCGTTCCTTGGGCTGGGTACGCAGCGTACGGACAAATGATTCGAACGCTTAGCCAAATCTGGGCTCAATCTGGAGAAGCCGTGTCTGCTTTCGTTGAGAATATCTTCGAGTCAGAGTACTTGGGTAATGGCTTGAAAGCTTTTGAAGGTCTCCCTGCCTGGGCCGTTCCGCTTCCCGAGGACTTCGACGAGGAGAAGCATGTTGGTATGTATATTTCTTGCGGGGTGATTTTAGTCTTCTCCTATTTCTACTTTCTACGAGATCTTGCCACTGTATATGCCTTTTCCTAATACTTCTACTGTCTGCGTCCCTTTTTGGCATATCGAGTAGTATAAAACAACATTGTATATCCCGTGCTGAAAGGAGAAGAGATATTACTAACTTCATGGAACACTAGGCTGGGCGACTCATAAGTATGTTCTAGCGAGGCGACTTCACGTCTGCGTTGAAATCGACCCATCGCCTAAGCAGGCCTGGCTCAAGCCCGTTCTGGATACTACCATGGAGAACTGGATTCGCGACCCTAAGAAGCGTCTTTACGGCGTCAACAAATTGTGGGAAGCATATGACTTCTTCTGCTACTGGGCTCTGGAAGTGGCCAGAACCGGGATAACATGTCCCCTTCTCTTTTCTCTGGATAATTATACCCAAGACCATATCCGCAAGCTTCGCCTCTCTGTGAGCGAACGGGCGAAGCTCTACGAGGAATGTGTAGGCACCCATGTGACTGGCACGGACGAAGGTTGGGTCATGTACAAAGGCAAGGGCAAGGAGACCACGACCACCAACGTGAAACCTGCTTTTAAGGATGGCAAACCAAATAACGGAGACGAAGACGCCCGCTCTAGCAGTGTGGCTACCGAACCGTATGGCTCGAAGTGGCATGGGCACAAATCCTCCAATCCTCCTATCAGACACCAACCCGGCTCAACCTCAACCGTGCCATCCATCCCCACACCACGCCAACAATTCAGCTTCACACGCCCACGTGCCGAGCAAAGCAATAGTATCTCGCCTCCACCAGCGCCCTCCAGCACCCCACAAGAAAAGCCCTTCAAACCAGGCCGCACGGAGCCGAAGACGCCCGAAGACGCCATCGCGCAGATGGCCGAAGCAACACGCACCGGGGTCAGGGCCAACTCCTTCAAAGCCTGGTCGCACTTCTTCGAGACGCAGCTCGCGCGGCACGACGAGCTATCCCGGGGCTCCGCGGCGTGGCCAACCATCGACCTGACGTTCCAGCGCTTCCTGCAGGAGCTGTGCGTGCGGTTCCCGCCGGCGGACGAAGGACGCGCCGCGGAGCTGCAACAGTGGGCTCGCGCTGCTAGCAAGCGAGTCGAGGACTACAAGGCTGAGCGGGCGAAATACGCTCGTGCCGATGCTATGCTCGATAGGGTCATGGGACTCGCGGCTGATTTGAAGGAGTAAGTTTGGGAGAGTCTTAACTTATGCGTTGCAGGAGCTGAAGGACATGCATAGGGGTTAGGAGAGGGGTCTGGTGTTAGTTATATCTTATGTAATACCGTACTACTACCACTACTACTACTGCTAGTAAGTCTCTGGAGAGTTGCTAGAGTGTTATTAGGTAGAAATATATTAATGTATTACTATCCGCTCTGTACGTGGACTTGGAGACCAATATGACTCAACAAGAGACAGGTTGTAGTACATTTTCTCATTCGTAGTTGTATCTGATTCCCCAGAAAACACCAATCGTAACATTGACCAAGAGCTCCTTCATTGAAGATATTTTGTATTATATACATTACTGATTTTTAATTGGGGTTGGCTTTATATATGTACACATCTAACTAACTTTGATGACCCTTTATCATTACCGAGCCAAACTTCGTTTGGGCTTGATCTCATGACCGCCGTGTACCCTCTTATGCAAAAGTGCTTTTTCATAGTTCCTATTTTCCCCCATCCCCAAACTCCGGTGACTGGTCTAATACATCGCGGGTGCAATAATACTACGGTAATGTTGCAGCTTAGCTGCCACGAATTTATTCGTAGATGCCCACCTTGGGGTTGTTCGCCTTATTAATTCCTTCCCTTGGTAGGGTTGATTCCGAATCTTTTTTTTTTTCAAGAACTTCCCGACGTTGGATTTTCTATTACCTAACCTTCGACTTGACCCTGTTGGCTCGAGCAGCCGATGATGGGTGAAGGTTGTCGTTGTTAGTTGTTGAGTCATCGCTGTCTTCGATGATAGCGCCCTCCTTGCTCTCGCCATATACCTCGCGCTCAAGGCCCTTTGCAGCATCCCAGCTAGCCTTCTCTGCTAGCATGACATTGCTTAGGCGACGGTCCGGGTTGCTCTTAGCACGGACGACCTCAGCCTTGCTACGGCGTAAGTAGCTCGTGATGAAGAACGACACGAATAGGTAGGTTAAGGGTGCGAGGTAGATAACGTTAAGCCAAATTGCGAAGGTTGCACCGCTTGTTGTAATACAGTCAACCTTTTGGTACCGAGTCACGTAACTGGCGCCCTGGTGCGTGGAGTTAGCTTCGGACGAGGACACCACGGCAGCAGGACCGGCAGCCTCGGCAGCGCCGAAGAGTGTTTTCTTGAGCCCATTAGCAAAGCTAGCGGAACTAGGGGTCGCGCTTGCAGAGGCAGAGATGCTCGATGCTGCGGCATTAGCTTCAGCAGCAGCAACCTCGACCTGAACCGGGACCAAGTACGACATGAACGAATGCACGATGGCAACGGAAGCACCAATAATGAACTGTGAGATCTGAAGCGAGGTAAGTGTGCGCTTGACTACCTGAGGCACGCGGATGTTGAAAGCTGTCACGGTAAAGTAGGTGTACTTTCTCAAAGTTAGCAGCTATAAATATAATTAGATTTAGAGAGACGAGAACCTACCATGAGAGCATGGATAGCCGAGTTGAAGAAGACAAAGATCCAGATGGGTGTCGACATGTAGCGCATACCAGCCCACATGGCCATCATAGCACCGGCGTGGTGGTAAGTCTGGAGTGTCGAGCTGTATTTGCCCTTGGCGAGGATAATAAGGGTATCAATAACCTCGTAAAACTTGCTGATATAAAAGATCCAACCGTAGAATGCTAGCCCCTCATTCCAAAATCGGCCCCTGTCGTCTGGGCTGGGGAAATATACAGTATTCGTAGCACCGGCACCTAACGATGGTTCCCAGACTCCTCGGGCTTGGTTGTAATTGATGCCATTTTCCAGACCGGCAGTTCCATGGATTCTGCAAATACTGTCCACAGTACCGGCCCAGCCATTAGGTCCAGCCGGACTCACAATCGAGTTCCGGAAGGTATTCAACATGCCTAACCAGGTCCATGCCGAATATACAGCAAGGAAGACGTTGTGGAGGACGACCAAGAAGCGGAATGTCTTTGTCTTGCTGATAGCCCATGGCTTCTTGCCGTTTGACCTGTTGTACGCGTTGAGCGCCTTGGCCGTGACCGCGTAGACGGCAGCGATGGTGATAGGCACTTTTGGGTCCAAGGCGTTGACGTATAAGTTGTCCGGTATGCGGAAAGGTGTGTTGAAGCTCGGAGGAGGAGGAATAACATGCGGCCCTGAGTGAGGCGGGAACTGAAAAAGGGTGGCCGCTGGAGGCGAGAGGTAGACGATGGGTGTAGCCATTCTCACTATTGGTATCCCAGATCGGAGAAAGGTCTTTGAAACTCCGGTAACTGGAATCCTATGTGCTGGATATGGATTCAGGAGGATGTAGAATGTGCACGCGACTGGTTGCGATATGTACACTTATATCTGCAAAACAGGTCAAGGTGTAAGTCGAGAGAGTTGTTATGAATGCATGGAGCAAGAAAAAAAAGAATGCAACCTAGGCCTGGCCTTACTGGAAGTCACTTTTTCAAATAAAAAGTCACGCTTAAAAAGACATATATGTAGGAGGGGTTGGCTCCTTTTTTCGACGCCATCAAATATTTAAACCGCCTCTGCAGATTTACCACAATGAGAAAAAAAATATTAAAAAAAATTGAGGGATGCAATGCGGCAAGGTTCCTGCAGACTGGACCGCGGTACAATTGATTTCTGGGTGCGCTAAGGCTGGGTTGGGACGGGGGAGGCGACAGGGGAATGACGGCGAGGTCACGATATCTGTCGTCGCTCAAAGTACCACGAAGACCAGAAAGCTCAACAGTTGAAGAGCCTGGTAAAGATTTCCTTGGATTTCATTGGTCTATTTAACCTCGCCCCTGCCGAATCGGGTATAAACGCTGTTTTCGGGTTGTGGAATTTTTCGAATTGGCTTCCATACATTAGGTATTGTACCTCTCTAGCGCCAATAGGTAGATGTCCAATTGTACCTAACCGGCTGTATGTACCTAAGTAGGTTAGGTACATACCTAATGTACATATCGTATAAGATAGACATTCGGTACGTATAGTTATCCTGTATTTGCCCAAACATCATACGTTTGTACGTAGTTCGGTCATAGGGATGCAATTTTGACATACCTATCCCTTCTTCCATTTTGTTGGTGACGTTGGTGACACAAAAGCAAGTTTCCTATCGAGACCTGCAGGCGTCAATTAAAACGGTAACGATGTCTTACACAACCGGATCGCCCATTAAGCAACGGCGGTACAACATTGTTACCGTTGTTACGCAACATAACGTTGACCCCCATTGACCCTAGACTCTGACCGCTCCTCCAATGATTAGAGTTAAGCATGTGGTCGCATCTGATATGCCGAGGAAATTCGTTATGCCCGGTGTTTGTGGATCTCTCCATTATCCCAAGGTTCGACTGGGTTGCGAAAAGCGGCTTCCATGCCGATATCCATAGTATAGTCGTCATAAGAGAGCGAAGAGTTGAGTTTTGGAGCCCGATACCACAAGTACGCCTCGGTAAGACGATCTAGAATCCATGGCGAGTACCGAACTGGTAAACCTAAAATCATGTTGTTGGTAGACCAGTCCGGAGCACCGGGAATGCGGATAGTGTGGGCCAACCGGCGTTGTGGATGCCGCGAAAGCGAAACAATCCTAAAGACTCTCCGAGTTTCATTAACTCAAGAAACTTTGATTTTTGGGTTTTTCTCTCTTTTCTATTTTGACCGGGCATGGACTACATATTATATTCCTTTTCTTTCATGCATAATAGTAAGCACTTTCCTACCTGGGTGAGGGTATTGTTGTTCAATTCAAAAGGTGGGATTCTCACCATTTGGCGATTCTTGAAGTTGCAGACGATGAACCCCAGATAACTTACTTACTATAGAGGTAGTTATGCGTGTAGGTAGTATGTACCTATGCTGCATTGAGGTATGTTGCATTATCAAGTAGGCAATCAAGCCTCAAAGTTCCGAGATCCGCTTCCCAACAAAACCAGCAAGTCTTGCAGTCTGCCTTTCCCCTCATTGCATAAACCCCCGCATTATGATCGTATCAGCCAATGCATTTTTCTTTTTGGGGGCGAGTTCCTGGGTGTGTGGAGCCCCCGGCTTGATCGTACCAGATCTCCCAATCAGGAAATAGAGTCGTGAAAAGGTACTGAGATACATATGCAGAATCCCGACTGCATATAAGTCATGACCTTGAATTTTAATAAGTTAGGAAGCTTACGCGCTCATGCGAAAGTCGTCAGCGTACAGCCCGTCAACCTCGTAATCGATCATTACCTACGTAGTAATGACCTATGCCATACTGTTCGGCAACTAACAGGAAAAATAATGGTTTGCTACATAGATTCGCTCAATTTTATGGTAGATGCTAAATGAACGTAGCGGGCTTTACGCGCAACTCCAAAATGCAAGTTGCCCCTCTCCCAACAAAATTTGGAACATAACATTTATAGAGCTAAGTTTTAATATAGCGTACCTACTATGCGACGGAAGACCACATATGGTAGTATTCGGCTAGTTTCAATTACGATATCACCAAACAGTAGGTATCACAAAAACGTCGGACATGTCTGTCTTTTTGAAACAAATATTTTTTATCATATAATATTATGTCACGCATCCATCCAATTTTTTAAAAACATCAAAACATCAAACAATACTAGTAACAGGGTCGAAGCATCTCAACTAAGTCCCCGCCTTTAAAGTTTTTGATTGACATAACTATTCTAGTTTATCCCCGCTGCCCAGACATCCGAGTTTTCCGATGCCTTATAGAAGAGTGCAGTACCTCCGCAACTGCTATGTATGAGCTAGAGATCTCAACCGTTCCCAGTGCCAATAGTAGATCTATGTATGTGGTTTCAACTAAACAGCTACCCTAGACAATTGTCTCATACCCCGCAATCAGGCTGGAGCTGAAGAAACTGCGTACATTAACTAACTAGGAGATACACACATGTAGGTATGTACATGTAAGGTAGGTTTATACGCAGATCAGAACTAGACTGAGGCAGGGGGTACACTGAAATTTATAGAGAAAATGGCCAATCAGAGTTTGAATGAGCTGCGAGCT